AAGGTAAAATAAAGGGTAAAGTGAATAGCACCAGGATTGAATTTTAGTGTAAAAATGTGGTTTTTCGTTAAAGTTCTTTTTTTTTTATATGCATATATTGCTTAACCATCTTCCTTATCCTTGTATTCGATCAAACCAACTCAAGTATATATCTTTCTCAGTAGGACCCTAATATGCCATTGCAAAAACACATGCAAAAATCAGCTTTATATTAAAGTCTATTCCATACACTTTTCGTACTACTAGAATCGTATAAGAGCATAGGAATTAGATACTCTTTCAAATTTCAAACATATATATCTAGCTCATGCAAATCCTCTCCAACACTTTCTTCTCAAAAGTATTTAATTCCTATGCTCTGATACCATTCTAGCAATATGCAAAGTGCATGGAATGGGCTTGAATATAAAGCTGGTTTTTGCATGTGTTTCTGCACAAGGATAAAGAGTGTTGTAACTCATCTAAAAGGGCTTTCTATTGTCTAAAATGAGGAAAAGAACATGGAAATTAATGCAGCTATTGCCAAACCCATGGTCTCCAAATTATTAAGTAAATTATATGCATCCAATGTGCCGTCGCGCTTTCCCATTTTCCATCGTTATAACGAGCTCAATGCATCACTCCTACAATCTGTCACTCGTCACTTACGGTAACTAGCCCATGTTAAATCCAGAAAAGTTTGCTCTCTCTCTCTCCCGGCCAAACCCAAAAGTGAGGAAAAGTACATCCAGATGTTGGTATTGTTGGAGAGATTTTTCAGTATGACAGATACACGGGATAGTACACCACATGTCGTACAAATGATGAGATATATATGCTAAAATGTTAATAATTTAAAAACCAAAATTTTTCACCATTTCTATTAAAACACGTGATGTACCACTTCTTTTTTTGTCATAATAAATAATTCCTCCTATTGTTGAACCCACGTAATTAATTCGCTCTCACAGCTAAAACAACTTGTCCCTCTTAATTAGCTAAAAGCGAAACGCTGAAACCTTTCTTCCCTAGATAATCACCCAGAGTGAGAAAAAGCAAGTCGTCTTTATTAATTAAGCCGGGTATTTGTGTAAGTTCTGCAAGTCGTCTTTATTTAAAAAATATTTAATTTGTTTTTTAGTTTTTAATAATATTTTATTTATTTTTTAATAGAAAGTGATCTCAGTCTCTTGCCAAGTCAGAATTTAACAGAAAAACAACAGAAAAATTGACGGAGATATGACATTGTCGCAAATTCGTAAGATGCGGTATGACATTGTCAATTTTAAAAGACGAGGTAAGAAACTAGCATGATCCTAATAGTTGAGGTATTTTTTTGTACTTTACCCTAATAATTACAAATAAACAAACTGAAAAAGAAATCAATATGATAATTGGGAAAAACTAATAAAAGATTCTTTGTTAACCAAAATTTTATGACATTACGGTAAGATCCTCCACACTTCACTTTAATTTAAGAAGATTATGATTACAAGTAAATATGTAAAACACAAAATATGAAGAAAAAAAAAATGTAAAATGAGGGAAACTGCACATCTCTGCCATTATCATCAAATAATATGTTATTAATATAAAATAAGTTCGTTAATAACAATTACTGCATTATACTATATCTTATGATTTATCAAATTTAATTTAAAATTTTTATCTCTCTAACAATTATCCTATCATCATATACATAACTACACGTGGAACTTACGTATTGTGCAATCCAAACTAAAAAGCTGCTCCCATAGTTTTATAATATTTAATGTCTTTTCGAACTCAATTTGCAAAGGGCGTGTAATAAGATTCATTCCCATGCCACGTGTTGACGTACACTTACCAACCCCGTACGTCTGTGTATGCTATTATTTCACAAACATGTGTTATCATTGTCAAAAATTAATAAGATTAGGATGTAGACCTAACCTTAATCTAACCTCGTATCCTTTCCCTGTTTGTACTTGAAGTTAATCCACAAGTTTCAATTTGTGAACGAGTATGTGGTTTGAATTTTCTTTTCCACAAAAAATTAATGAGATTAAAACGTAGACCTAACTTTGTATTTTATAGGGATCTTGGTGATTTTCAAATCATATTCGTTTATGTACATTATACATTTAGAAATTATTGTAAATTTTTTTTATTTAAAATTGAATATAAACAGTAACTAACAAAAACTAATTACACGATGAACGAATAACAAAAAAAGAATTATCTAAATGTTACATGAAATTATAGCCACTTTAGTACCTCAATAGGTGAGCTTCCCTTTAAGTACAAACTGAGAAAAAAGATTCTCGTCGAATCTTTTTTTTATGAGTATTATAAAAATCTTAATTATATCTTTTTATCGTACATCGTACGAATAGAAATTATAAATTTTTTATTTAAAATTAGTTTTATGATTTGTTAGGTCGATGCATGCCGCCATTGCGATGTCTGATTGCAGCACAAAGGAGACACATACCCAGCACAAAAGGAGGGGGCAAGCATGCTGCCACGGCGACCTCTGATTGGAGGTCGGCTTCTCCAATCAACATAGCCTTCCCAACTGGTGCGGAGCTACTGTTCTTGCTCTTACAGGAGCCATTACCAAAACTCATGAGGCTTAGGGAAAAACAGGCATGAAAAGAACTATAGTGTAGAGATGAAAGGGAAAAAAATAAAAGGAGAATATAAAGAAAGAGGAACCCACTATTTTCTCTCCTGTGCCTCTCTTTTTCTCCCACTTGAGGGGTCCATTTAATTTGGATCGGATCCCTGATTCCAGAGGATTTTGATTAGGAATAAAGAGTGGTGAGTGGTGGGAAATTAAAGAGGTGAAAATTTCAAATTTTAAAGATATTTAAAATTTTGCAAAATTTTGGTGTCCCACTTTCTTAATTTTTTTAATTATGTATAATTATACCATATATTTATGTAAGCGGTAGATTAAAAAAAAAATTAGGTTTTAATTAAACATTTTCGGTACTGTTCACTTTTAATGAAAAATCATATTTTTACCTTTTCCTAATATTATTCACTACACCTTTATATGTTATTTTTCATTAAAACTAATTTTTTTTTGAACTTTTCGTTAGTTTTTCTTTAAAAAATGGCATTATGGATACTAAGTACTAGTCTTTCTGCACGCACCTTGAAATTCCTCGAAACTGACGACATCATGCACGCATCTCCAGCTGTCGTCAATGAATAAGATCATCATCCATCTTGTTTGTACCTTCTTCTCTCCAACGACATCAAAGGTTTTTAATTTCTTATGCAGTTATTTGAGTGCTATGCAGCAATCAACTAAACTGAAACCGCTAAGTCTGCAACGTAGGTTCCTTTACGTTTGTGTTTCCATTTTTTTCTTTTTTATTTACTTTGCTTTCTGGTTTCATTTTTTATTTGGATATTTCTATCATTTATTAATATTCCTAATAGTAAATCACGTGAGTTAAATTTCTTTGTTTGAGTGGCTTTATAGTTTAATTATTTTTGGTGAAGCTTTGAGACACCAAACTTGACTTCTGACATAATATTAGAGATATCTACAACGTGCAACTATGCGTGTTGTCATTCACTATCATGTACAACAGGCTAAGATTTGTCCGTGGTAAAAAATTCTCAATTCTCAATTTCTTTTTTCCCTATCTACAACAGATCTTCACCAGACCATAACCAGCTACTCCACTTTTCTCATCTCTACCACCACTTAACCTCCTAATTTTCAAATTTAAGTTTTCTTTGTTCATCTAAATTTATAATATAGACTATTAAAATTGATGTGTATTGGATAAAAAAAAAATCATTATAGATTACAATTATTTCAAACCTATTATTATTGAGAAGAAATTCCCATCTTCACCACCGCTAAATATCCTAATTTTCAACTTTAAGTAAATTTTTTATCTTAGTCAAAATTAATAATATAGGATATTAAAATTGATATGCATTGAATAAAGTCATAACAGATTATAATTACTGCTAAGTTGTTATGATTATTGAGGCGAAATTTCTGAACTTTTATAATAAGGAGTTGATCTTTTGTTTGACAAAGTATCGTCATTATTTCTGTCCAACTTCATATTGATGTTAAAGGATGAGACAAATGTAGCTCAAGGGAGGTCACGACGTAATGCCCACAAAAATGACCATTTCAATAAGACAAGTAACAAATTGCTCATTCATTTGGCTAGTTTGAGTCCGCACGATTCTTTTATAGTTTATGACAAAAACAGCTACTTTGTCTTATTTAATTGTATCCTAGAAATTTTACAGAGCATACCTATCAGCACTTGAAGATCAACTTAATAGTAATCATTCTACGTGTTTTTATTTATTTTTTATTTTAACAAAATCATTCTATGCGTTTAATAAGTGATTTTTTTCTTCTCAAATGCAAGGGATTAATGGTCTTGCTAAAAAAAATAGTGGAAAAATGGTTGCATCAAGTTTTTCAATAAGTGTATTTACTTGTTGAATTAACTTTGTTTTTACCAGTTGAAATTGCTTTAGTGGAAAGAGCATTTTTTGCCATGAATATCATTAAGTGTCTATTCTGTAACAAAATGGAATATATGGTTAAATGAAAACTTAGTTTTTTACATTAAGAAAGATGTTTTGTCTTGTATTGACAAAGAAACTATCATGCCACGTTTTCAGAATTTGAAACCTTGTCATGGACAAATTTAGTCTTTGTAGTTTGTAATGTTGTAGTTCAAAGATTATGAATAAAAAGTTAATAGTTTATCGATTAATTTTTCAATGTTTTTTTCATCTAATCTTTTTCAGAATCTTTATATTGGGATCACCCGATGTTAGAATTCTAGATCCGTCACTGCAGAGAACATAATAGACACGTAAGAAACGGATAAAACACAAAAAACCCTTGCCGCTTAAAGAACAATATTCAATAATAATATTTCCAAAAGTCCTTTAATAAGTAATTATGGAAAATAAAATAAGCAACCTAATTCATTTCAAATTAAGAAATAATCCCTTGATTTGCCATTCATCACCATGTATAAATATAGAGTCCCTTCCCTCCTATCATGGATATAATCCAATTGCCAATTACTATCATGGCTTCTAAGGGACCTGTCTGTCTCAGTTATGTATTTCTCAAGCCCGAAGAAGCAACTTTCATCGAGCTCATTCGCCTCCTCTTTTCCTCTGACATAGAAAAGAGAAACTTCATCACCTCCTCGGCAGTAAGAAAACTTGACTTCAAACGGAGGTTGTTAATCTTCTTCTCTACCGTGATTCAATGCATCCTCCTTCTCTTCAGAAAACCCATGGCTTGGCTTGGGGGTGTTCTGGAGAAGTGGCTAAATCTTGTATCAAGCAACGGTGGATTGCTCATGCTCATCCTAAACTGGCTAAAAGGTGTGTCTCATAACTGTCGTTTATAAGACTTGCAAACTCCCGATTAATTCCTTTGTTGTACGACCCTTCGCCTTCGGGTGATGACAGACAATTCAGGTCCTGCAGCAAATGGAACATTCTTTGATCTTTATCTTTATTAAGCTAATTCTAGCTCGTTACCTCGTATGCTTCACGACTTAAGCTAACACCAACGTCTTTAACTCGAAATTTTAAACAAGGAAAATATACGTAACAAGCTAATTAATGCGTTTGTAAAAGAAGACCGGATGAGTTAATACTTAAATATTTTTCAGTTTATTAAACCAACCAATGCAGCCAAACTGGTGATCAGAGCACCAAAATTAACCTAGTGGCAACACAATAATTAAAGTAAATCATTATTCATATTTTGGTCATTAATATAATTCTATTGCTTAATTAGTTAAATGAGTAATTAAGGGGGCGGTGTGCAGGAAAGGTGGTGATACCAGATACATCATCAACCAAATCCCTGCTTGGATTTCTTGACACACGAATTAAATTAGACGACAACATGAAACCTGACGACACAAGATATAAAGGGTCGCTGTCCATGATGGCAGCCAAATTGTCGTACGAGAATGAAGAATTCAGCTGAAAAAGTTGTCAGTGAATACTGGAAGGTAATTTAATTAATTAGCACTATTATTAATTTGAAGTGTTAACAACAACTACTACTAATCGTTTTGGAATGCGCAGATGAAACTCGTGGCGTTCTACAAATTTTGGAATGGTACGGAACCACTTGAATTGTGGTTTTATGATTTTATTTCTTGTAGTTTGGGCAACTCTAATTTCGGTTCTTGTAATTCAAATAATAGGTTTTGCAGCGTTTTCACAGCTAGGATCCCTATCTACTAAAATTTTAATTTCTTATGATGGCGAACGATCAATCATGCATAAGTCCTGTTCAGACAACAAATACGAAATGAACTGCCACTAAATTAATAGTTAAGCAATTAATTAGTGAAGCCAAAGTATGAGAGATGTTTTGACCATAGTGAGCTACAAAGCTATAATTTGGAAAATTGAAGGACGAGGACCCGTAAACTACATGGCTACAATCGACAAAATACGAGAACAAAATCATATATGGTTTAGCATTTTTTATCTTGTTCTTATTGCATATCATAAAAAATTTCCCACAGGTTACGAGAAACGAGAATCAACCCAAGCCTTCATGTTCCAAGACACAACATCTGACCCCAACTTGGTTTGGGTCGCATTTAGAGGCACCGAACCATTCAGCGCCGACGATTGGAGGACAGATTTTGACAGTCTCATGGTGCGAGTTTGCCGGAATCAGCAAGACCCACGGAGGCTTCATGAAAGCTCTCGGCATGCAAACAGAGCAAAGCTGGCCCCTCGAACCGGAAACAGAAGATCATGAGTTCGCATACTACAAAATCAGACAAATTCTGATGGATTTATTGGAAGAAAACAAGAATGCCAAATTTATATTGACAGGTCACAGCTTGGGAGGGGCACTGGCGGTGCTGTTTGCGTCGGTGCTGGCAATGCATGACTACGAGGAGAAATATGCATGGTTGATGGAGAGGCTGGAGGGAGTGTACACCTTTGGACAGCCAAGGGTGGGGGATGAGAAATTTGCGGGCTATGTGACGAAGAAGCTGAAAAATTATGGGGTGAGGTATATGAGGTATGTTTATTCCAATGACTTGGTGCCTAGGGTACCATTTGATGATACAACCCTATTGTTTAAGCACGTTGCTCCATGCCTTTATTTCAACAGCTTCTATAAAGGGAAGGTTAGTCTCTCTCTCTCTCTCTCTCTCTCTCGTGTACTATTAGTAATTTAGTACACACAAAGCATATACGCTCGTTAACAAATGTAGATTGATATCATTATTTGTAGAACAAACTTGTATTAAAGAAAATAAATTTTATGTGTCTAAATAACATTTACCTAACTTGTTAAGCAATCATAATGTGAATGTAAGTATCAAATGCTTTTTCTTATAATACTAGTTACATAATCATTGAATCTATGAGATTTTCTCTTCTCGCAATACTATATATAGACGCACGATATAAAATGTGAATGATGAGGGTTATTGAGCATTGTATACGTATCTATTGTATACTAAATTTAGTAAACGAACACATGTATATATATTAAAAAGTGCGTATGTACGTTTCTTTCAAGTTTCATGCTATACGACTAACAGTGATTACACATTGTGATTGGAACCAGGAGTTGGAGGAGGCACCCAACAAGAACTACTTCAATTTGCTATTCTTCATACCGATGCGGTTAAATGCATTGTGGGAGCTGATTAGGAGTTTCATACTCCCATTAATAAAGGGTTCAGAATACAAGGAAAGCTGGCTTATGATAATGGCTAGGTTTTTTGGTTTAATATTTCCTGGATTGGTAGCTCATGCTCCTCAAGATTATGTCAATGTTACTCGATTGGGATCGATCCCGTCCCACATGCCACTCCCAAAGCTTACCTCCAGAAAATAAATCTAAAGTTAATTCAAGTTATGTTAGTCTAGCTACTAATAATCCAACTGGACAAACGATACACTACTAAAAAAAAGTTACTTTCGCAGCAAAACTTCTCCCGAAAAACATGGTGTTTGCTGGGAAAGGTTGACAAACCAAATAAATTCGTTATGTTATATGCTATAGCCTATATTCAACTTTATCTATTGTATGTATCGATGTTATGGAATAAATCATTCACGAGTGAATTTATTTACCGATGATAGATATGAGTTGAACTCATGATGTTGGCCTAACAAATTCTTCTTCGATTTTCAAATTTCAAGTACTTACACACTGAACAAATACTAACTCCAAACACAACATTGAATTGTATCGGAAACTTCAAATGCATGAAGATGTAGATTTTTCCCTTGAGCTACCAAAGACCTATCTTTTTTGCCTTCCCAAATCGAGAGTGTGAAGAATTTAGCCGTGAACCAAACTGCGAAAGGATAGTTTTCCTCTCCCCCTCCATCGATCGATCCATCTGTGAACCAAACTAGGGTTATATTTTAAGGAGATGAAACTTAAGATGCAAGGCACGCAATTTTCAGTCGTACAAATTCAATGCTTTTTGCATTTACTTAATCAGGATTTGAGCACCCAAATTACCTGCTTTTAATAAGTTAAGCATGCTCGAGACGAATCACTTACTAGTAGCGGAGCTCTCTAAACACCACTATTCAGCAACCCTCATGAACTTATCTATGAACTTCTCAGTTCTGCTCAGTTACCAAGATCAAGAATTTTTCCTTACCAGAGATTATGAAAAACACGAGTGTTCGAAAATTATTTACTCGTTCACGTGATCGCAAAGGAAGCTGATTGCTTTTTGTTTTGAGAAAACTATAGTGTAGAATATTGTTCCATTTGCACAAGGAGAGGCTTCATTGTTTGGAAACATAATTGAACATAGTATACAATCTGAAGCCTTTGATTTACACACACGAGCATTATTAGTCCCTGAATCACCAAGAATCTTGCTCACTAGGTAGGGGGTACGGTCCTATTCATCTGATACTGAACTTCAGGTATTGGTGCCTCAAGCCACTATAAAACTGTGTTAACGCTGATCGAGTGTCAAAATAGTAGCTGCGAACTGCTATACTCCATTCATTCGTGTCCTGAAAGATATGGACATTGCAAATTGGCATCAGAACGTAGTTTATGAATCACGGAAGGTTTCATGGCATTCATTAGACGGATTTATTGAAACGATGCACATGCATGTAAACTAAATCGGAGAGGTTGTAGTTTTCAGTTAAACTGCATCACTTCAGTAGCTAGTTTGTCATTTCTAAAAGTTTTTAAACTACAATGGTTCGTGTTATGTTAAAGCACAATCACCATTCATGATTCATCATAAGAAACAACACAGATTGAGGAGCTAATATTTGGAAGAAAAAAAAGGAATACAATTTCGCAGAGACCAATTACCTTGCTTTATAGCTTGAGCGGAGCAACATGTGGCTGGATTAGGCATCAGAAAGCATGGCATGTAAAACAACCACTGAAAGAACCCATATGACAAGTTCTTCGGATTGATAAAGCTTTACGTGAGGTCCTCGCAACTTGCGCTTGGTCGACTGAGCTTCTCATGTCTTGAGCTTTCTTCTGAGCCGATCTCAACTTGTTCATGATTTTATCCATTGATGACGATCGCGTCTTTTCAAGCTTCATCTGAACCAGATTGAAGTAAGGGCCAATAGTTGCAGAGCATATATACAAAAATGCATGTCTAATATGTGTGCGCGTGTGTGAGAGAGAGAGAGAGATATAGTTGCAGAGCATATATACAAAAATGCATGTCTAATATGTGTGTGCGAGAGATAGAGAGAGAGATGAGAAACCTCCAGTTTCCGTATTGCTGCCTCAGCTTTTGCCCTCTGTAGGTTCTCCCAAGCAGTGATTTTTGCTTCCTCTCTATTAACACTGAAGAATAGACATGTATCAGCACATATTTTAGAATATTAGTTCATATAACAATATTCATTTTCCTTCGAAATAAATAATGCACAATGAACAAATTGGGTGGCAAACGTACTTTGCAATGCTCTTCGACGTGTCAGAGAGATCCCAAGCAGCAGATTGAACGTCTGCATCCTTCTTTTTCCAACCATCACCAATATGAGAACCCTTCCCAGGCCTTCGAGCTTTATGCTTCTTGGACCACCTTGTCATAGTGACCCGTTCATCTACCTGCACATCCCTGACTTCCGACTTTGAAGAAGCCGCACTCTGCACTTCCAAAATAGGCAGACCAGAGGAAGTGGAGGCAGAGTAAGAAGCCCGTGCTCTGGGAGATGAGTGAGCGCTATCTGGGCTCATCTGGGTTGCCATGTCCCTTCTTGAAACTGCCCGAGATACATTCGTAGCCGCATCCTTGACCCCATTGGGGCCATCAAACTTTACATCTGGTGTAAATAAATCAATGTAAAGTTGTAAACAGACCATCCATGCATAAGTACACTAGTTCTAACAATTCTGAATCGATGTCATCCGTTGTTTGATGACATGGTAATTAAACCACCTTCATTAATTGCTCATTCATTCGACAATCTAGTGATTGTTATTAAATCACTCAGCTCAATTAAGAAACTGACGTCCAATTAGCAAATTAAACACTAACCTTGAGAGTCAGGCAATGAAGACTGCTGCTCCAGCACCTCAGAGCAACCATGAACACTAACCGAACGAGCAATGCAAGGCTCTGCCCGCGTCGTAAAGCTACCATTTTCGGCACCGGACTGGAACCCCAACCCATCAGCTGATATAACAGCAGCCGAAAACGGAGAAGCAGCCATGAAATTACTCACATTGGTCCCATCAAACATTGGCATTGCCGGCGAGTACAATGAGTAATACGCAACCCCAGAAGGACCGAGCGGACCACTCTTCGACTTGGGCCGCCTCTGGGTCTGCTGATAAGCTGGCCTCACCACGCCATCCCCCTGAACGGGACTCAAAATCCACCTCTCAGCATCTTCCCACTTAGACGGCAATGTCCTCCCGTTATTAAACGGCAATATCGCAGCCGTCGTATTCTTCCTACCCACATTGTTATGCGACGGGACTCGCTCCGAGCTCCAACCCTTTTGAACTCCGAGACTCGCGTGCCGGTAACTCGGTGTGCCGGGACTGGGGAAGTTACCCGATTTCCGAGACGCCATTGAACCCTTCTTTATCGCGCCTAATCTCGGCGAGGACACAGAGGCATTGTTGTTCAAGTCCAACGAGGCGGGTCTCGGCCGGTCTAGCTTCTTCGATAGAGCTTCAGATCTGGACCGCCGGTCCTGGCATTCTATACAAACAAACAAAAAACCCAAAAGCTGAGAATTTTGGTTGGTTAGGACTGGATTGGACTGGATTGGACAGGACTAAGTTGGACCGGGATTTTACCTTTGAGGGCAAGAGAGAAGGAGCTTCTGGCGGAATCGAGGACGAAATCTGAGTCGGAGTCCTCCCTTTGAACTGCGCGAGCTCGAAGCAGACAAAAGCAATAGTGAGAGTTTGAAAATTGAAAAAGTGAGGGAAAAAAGCAACGTCGTTTCTGAGCTGTAAATACCTTTGGCTTTTTCTCCCCTTGCGGAGAGACGACGAGTGTGCTGAAAAGCGTGGATTCTGTTCGGATCCGGATCGCGATCTGGACCACTCGAGCTTTCCTCGTGGCGGCGATCGCGTGGGGCCGAGTTCTGCTGCATTCAAATCAACACGTCAACAATTTGCCCGTCAGTTAATTAAGCATGCAATCAGAAAATGCGAGTTCATTTCGGTACCGGAGAGATCTCAGAGGCGGTGGAGTCGTCGTGGTCGAAGGAGCAGAGGTCGACGCTGGCGGAGGCGGAGGAGAAGAGGCTGAAGTTCGACTCTAAGGCGAAGATTACGGAGTCAGTGCTCGGGTCGCGGACTCGGAAACCCGGTCTCTGCTCCTGCATTTTTCAGATTACCAAATTTGTTCGTTGAAGATCCCGCTGAGAGTAACGGAGGGAGTGTGAAATGGCGGGTATTATACGATTATGTCACTGTCATTAAGCAAACCCAATCACGCTTAAGCTTTTGTTTAACGAATCGAATAGACAGTAGCGTTTAATTAAAGGGGATTAATTATAATTTTTTCTATTTTTAATGCTGGGTCGTGATTAGCTTTGACTAAGATAAAATAACAGTGGTCTTTATTTTTAAAGAATTTTAACGAAAAGTTGCTGGTACTGTTTTTTAACGAAAAATTATATTTTTACATTAAAAAGTTAATTATGATACTATTTATTTTACTCTTTATTTTATTATTATCGTTAAAATTCAAAATTTTAAAACTATTTACATTAATTTTTCTTTATAAATTATTTAAATTGTTAAATTTTAAAACGAAGAAGAATCCATAGATTGAACTTGAATTAGAATGCAGAAGTATTATTATTTTCTGTTACGGTAAAGCACTCTATGCAAAAGACAAAAATGATTGTGGGACCCATGTTTCATGTGGCAGGAGCTGGGTCCCGATTTGGAGTTTGGGATGGGCAAACATTGATTCTAATAATTGGGGATTTCAAGTATTCTGCGATCGTTCATCATATATCGTACGATAAAAAATTATTTAAAATTTAAAATTAAATATCAATAATATTTAACAAAAATTGATCACTGATATACGATAAATGATCATAATCACAAAATCTTCAAAATCCTCGGGAAAAGAATTCAACAAGAATCTTTCTTCGTGAAACATGGTAGCATGGACTTTATGGTGTAACTTTTGGTGACAAGGAATTTGAATTTTTGATGATAATATTGACAAGTCAATGAGTGTTTTCCACGATTTTTTTACAATGAATTATGATTTATGAATTTTTGTTGCGTGTGATAATGTTTTATGATTTAAGAGTGGATCTTGCGCTATAAATCAACGTGGCTAATTGATTTTGTATTGATGTTGATATTTTATTATAATATTAGAATTAGCAACATGTCAGCATCGTAAGTTTCGTTAGGACGTGTATTTAATACCATCTCAATTAAGCTACTTTCTTGCCCACGTTAGAAGTGTGAACATAATATTATTTAGCTTGCTTGACTCTTCTTCACACATATGTTAATATGATAAGTCAATTTATTGGCCAGGTTTTAAATAGATGGTGATATTTGCACATTTATTTTTACTTTTTATATATTTATTCTCATTTTTTATAGTAAAATTAAATAAATTGAAGAATATCAATGATAAAAAAGTAACAAAGGTATGTAAAATGTAAAAATTGATGTGTAAATAGTACTTTTCTATGAACATTGGCTATTAATTGCGAAAACTAGTGTGATCAATGGGTCAACAAGCTGATCTTTTGTCCTCAACAGATACCTAAAGGAACTACCATCTTTTTGTTAAAGCATGCATGTGCTACTAATCATCTTTTTGTTTTTCTTCTTTTGTTGGAAGGAACTACCAGTCATCTTTGGTGGGTTTTTAGGTAGAATCATCTTTTGGTGGTTAGGGATTTGGATCCTCTCCCGAGCCTAAGGAGAGGATCCTGTTGACCAAAGGATTTGGGCCATTGGATGAAAATCTAACGGCTATAATTATTATAACTTTAAAGGGACTCCTCTGTTTGTAGCCGTTGAATTTTCATCCAACGGTCCAAATCATTTGGTCAGAAGGATCTTCTTCTTGGGTTCAGGAGAGTATCCAAGTCCGGTGGTTAGAATATGGTCGGAGGGAAGTGTTTTAACTTAAAGGTAACTTTGAAATTGAAAAGTTAAAGAAAGGATCGAGAGTTTTTAAGGTAAAAATAGAACTACTCAAAAAGTAAATCGTAAATGTGTTTTGTATAAAATGCAGTGAGAAATTCAGTCAAACAGAGAAAAATCAGGAGAAATAAGATTTTGGATTGTAGAGGAGTTTACTCGGTAGCAATAGGTACGCTAATGCCACTATTCTAAACTTATAACGCTATGTTTTGTTTTTTAACTTTTTTACAGAATAATGTTTTATCAAACATTTCATACTAACATATTCGGTGTAGATAAATGATTTTGTTCATGGAACCGGATCCTCTCAGGATCCCAATAATTTGAGTTGAATGATCAAATGTTCCGAACCGTTGAAATTTGATCCAACGGTTACAAACAGGAGGTCATTCTAAAAGTTATAATAATTGTAGCCGTTTGATCAAATTTCAACAGCCCAGATCAAAAGATCATTTGGCTCAAATTATTGGGATCTGAAGAGGTTCCGGTTCCTTTGTTCATACACTAGATCCACGTCACTTGTGATAGTCCTATTCAAAATCTGACATGTGATTGTATTTTGTATAATTGGAAATGAACTAGTATTACTTTTTAAATTTAAAGTTAAAATTGTGAAAACTGAAGAAAATTTAACAGAGAAGAAGAACAATATTTGGCTATTCAAAGACGAGTATAAACTCCTACTCAAAACTCTTAGTTCTTTAATCATAGAGCTTCGTGATTATGATTAGAACCGTTCATAGTATGAATCACACTGTAAAGATCATCTTTGGAAAAAAAATAAATTATAACTAAGGTCGTTTAGTCAATCTATTATAGCAAATACATACACGGTTCGTAATACTTTTACCAATATCGTTCATTTGTTTTCAACGGTTTGATGACTAAACGACCTTAGTTTTAATTGATATTTTGCAGAGACGAGCTTTATAAGGTGATTTATAATATGAACGATTCTGATTATAATCACGAAGTTTTATAAATTGAAAACAGATAATTTTGAGTAGGAATTCCTACTCATCTTTTAGTAGCCAAGTATTGTTCAGAAAAGAATACATATTTCAATTCCAAAAACCACCAAATCCCCTCCAACCTCAATTCCAGAAACCACCTATGCCACAAACTCAAGTAAATCCATGAGAAAACTGAGCTATAAAAGAGGGAAAGATTGGGAACATTACTTTACAAAAAAAAAAAATAATAATAAAAAAAAGAAAAAAAAAAGATTGGGAATATTTTGACTATCGATAAGGTCGTCGGGCATCATTACTGTCCGGCCCATGGCAGTGGACAACATAAACGGCTAAACTCGTGCCGCTTAAACCGGTTTTATGCAGCTCAAATCACATTATAATAAATTCCCTATATTCTCCACTTACACTAGTGTTTTAATAAACTTTTAAATCTGACTCGAGAATAAGTATTTTGATCTCTGTACTTAATTCACTCAAATTTAATTAGTTCTTGATTTGTTTACGGAGTAGCGAAGATGACGCCTTATAGCAATAATAAAAAACAATTATGCCTACTCATTCTAATGCTGGTTTGATCCTCACCAATGCCCCTCGCTCTTAACACTTACACTATCGTTTGTCACCAAAAAAAAAAAAAAAAAAAAATTATCAACCTTGATTTGTCAAGAATTGCTCTACTTCCATTACATTGGTCAGCACGGCCGCCCTAGAGTTTACAGGACGGCCACTATATACTGCCGGTAATCCCGGTTTTGTAACCGCGTCGCAAAAACAAAGTTTTCTTGCTGTAAAAGTAAATATTTCAATCAGAACCCAACTAATTGATACATGCCTACTGCTTACCACACGACTATTAATTGCACAAGACTAGCTTACAGGACTCTACAATTTTACAAAGCTGAAACTTTGTCTTCAGAGCCAACACAGGTTTTGGGGAGGGTAAGATGTATGCAACCGCACCTCTTTCCGGACAAACTGTTTCTACTACTCGAAACTGCAACTGTTTAATCGCGTTTCACAAGTCATTAGATTACTTTAAGGTGCTACTCAAAACCTCACCACCTGATGAATAGAGCTACATTATCGTCATCTACTGGCCATGTCACTGAAGTAAGCAGTTATCCCCTTCAACTTGCCATTTAAGAAGTTTTTCTCGACCTGAGATCAAATAATACCCCAACAGTCGGAGATAAGAGTACAATACTCCGTTTGGTGATACATAAAAGCTGATGCAATGTACTTTCAAAAAAGAGTTAACAATGTTCTAAACAGTAATGCTAGTGGGATTCTAGGTCGATGATTCCCTCAAGGCAGTGCTATCCTTTGGTGGGAAGTGGGGAGGACAAGAAACTTGAAGGCGTTATAGACTGAAAAGGGAAATGATAACACACCGTTTCTCCCCTCCTACACACCCCTATTTAATTATGTCCGTTATCTCCATTTGATTTGTTTAATCCAAAGGCCAGGAATAAAGAGGCACATGTGAGAGGCTAAAATGAGTGCGAATATCAACTCCCCATTGAAAAAAACAAATAAAGAAAGTACCTCTAGTGACCATGGCTGAGACCCCGATAGAGCAATCTCTGCTAATTGGTTGATATCAACATTTCTTGGGAGAAACATGACAATCCTAGAAGCAACTTCCTTTGCAATGTTAAAGAGAAAATATCTGTCACAATAATCGACCTAGTTACATTGAGCCAGAGAGAATGAGATAAACTAATATGATTACCAACTCCAAAAGTTAAAAGAAAAAACATAGGAAAGGAGGAGGAAGACACACCCATCATGTGGCTTAAGCATTGTCTTCATGTCGTATGTCTCTACTTTTGCATAATCAGGTCCTCCCCACGGGGGTGACAAAAAGACCGTGTCTGCCTGAAGTAAAGGAAAATTTGAGAACTGAAGAAATTTGGAAAAGCATGGGAAATAAACCATAGGTCCAAAGCACAAGGTTTAGTAAAGCATAACTGAAAGCATTTTGCAGTCCCAAACCATACAAACTACGAAATTGAAAACTGTGAACACATAGGAAGTCAGTTTTAGTACCTTCAGCTTTGGTGCCAAGCGGAAAAAGTCCCCCTTTATGAAATCTATCCTGTCATCAACCCCATAGATGGCAGCATTATGCTGTGCATAATCAATCTTCGTTGGATCAATATCAATTGCAATTACATGTTTGCTTCTGCAACATCGCATGTATAAGAAAATGATGGAATTAGGATTTCATCCCTAGCTAGCCTATAACTTTGATTGAAACCTTATGAATCTGAAAATCTTGATTGAAGGACATTAAATGTTGTCCATATCACCATGCACTTAGAAATGAAATTACATGTCATATTTTCAGTTTTTTTTAATAGTTTCTGTTTTCCTAGTTTTATCTTTGTTGTTGTTTTAAAGGAAAAATAGTAAAAATTGTATGAGATATGACCCACATCTGTGCAAATTGGATGGAATTCCCACCAACTCCAGTAAAACAGTCAATGATGACGTCACTACCACATCTTTCTGCATGATGCCTAGCTAGAAGCTCTGGAGTGACAGAGAACCATCCTTCCTCATCCATTTTTATACCATCATCGTATCTGGAGAATAATAGGTACCGTTGACACCAATATTTTCCCATATCAGCAGAAAACTCTTTGAACAGCTCTTGAAATAGAAGCTCTGCTATATGAGGATTGGTCATCAGAAAGGATGTAACTATATAAAGAAATTATAAATGCACTAATAGCAGCAATAAAATTAAGTCTTTGACCTTCGTTCTCATTAGATAATTTTCTCTGAATTTTCTTTCTTCTCACTTTCTTCTTCCGTTTTTGTACAGCAGGGTCAAGCTGCATTTCCAACTGGTTTGTTGCCAAAACTTCATTTCTGAATGCATATTACTATCCTCAGACACTTCATCAGTGTATTTATGGGACAAGCTGCGAACAAAAAATTAGTAGACAAAAGCTCATATCAGTTTTAGAAAAACAAAGCTGAAACAGACCAATTAAGACCGTTATTCTAAATTTTACCTGCTTGTATTAATATTTGAAACGCATCAAAATCTTCACAATCTTTGAGAGTTTCCTCACAAAAATTAGGTTCATTAGGCTTATTATTGAGTTCAATAGTATTTTGTTCATCAATCTGTTCAGCAAGAATTGGCTGCAAACCACTGTTGCAGACATCATCAGAAATCAACTGCTTGGTTTTGTTTCTGATACTGTGAGCACCATGCAATGAAAACAAAGTCTCAGGATCATCACAAAGTAATATCATACACACAAATTAGATTCGTAATCTCAACAGCAAAACAAAAAAAAAAAAATAGAAAGATGATAAATATACCTAGCGATATGATCCTGGACATCTGATGAGAAGCATGATGCATTCCCATCATTGCAGGTGTTATTGTTCTTGTCGATTTCATCTGAATGTACCGGACATCTGCTTACAGTGACAGTTGACAAAGTGGTTTCAGACATAGAAGTGTCAACAGTGAGTTCAATCCCCCCGGAGATCTCATGATATGGCTGACCCTGTGAAACATCTTGAGTAATTGATTCTTGGAATGAATCAGTTTTACTCACACCACATAAATCTGTTGCCTTTGAGTCAGTGCTAACATCAATCTCCATTACTTCAGAAATCACATCATTTGGCTTACATATGGCATCAATAGATGCTAAATATTCCATGCCTAGGGGTGGATACCATGTGGAAGTATGCGTTTTGATATTATAGAAGTAATTTCTCATGTAGTAAGAATCCCAATATACCATCCAGTCTCCGGAATCACCGTTGTCTTGGCAGTCAGTTCCATCAGGGTCAAGCACTTCTGAACACATGGAATATGAAATTGTCTCAGAAACCTGTTGCGGTTCAGGGATATAGTCCTCGCATGTTTTGGTAAGTTCTGCTTCGTGGGAAGCCGCTAATGAACACTCTAAGTGATCATGCTCCATTAATATTTCACCTGATTCTGTCTCATCATTGCCAACAGCAGCATCTGCTGAGCAGCTTTCAGGGCAACGTCCAGCATCTAAATCAGTTGAGCTCACCGCAATTCTCATTATGTCGCTGAGCACATGGCCCCTGTGTAAAGGGTCACAACCCTGGGCATCATTACAAACGACGGCCAATATTCCATCACGATCTTGTTCTTTGACAGCATCACCAGTAATCTCAGTTGAATTTTCTGGATTATCTCCTTCTACACAAGGGCACTGAAATTCAACAGCACCCGCTGCAACATCAGAGGAAGATGATTCACTTTGGCCCATCATTGGCAAACAACACAAAGAACTGCTTGTGTTACCATCGAATATCATAGGAGAAACAATCTCCCCCTCACTCACTTTGGAAGGCTCCATTGCTCCACCTACAACGTCCAGAGAACTGTCTGGTTGCTTCAGGCGCATTCCCTTTCTTCTACCCTCCGTCTTTCTGTTCCTCTTCTGCAAATTCGCACCAGCATCAAGTTATCAACACACCACAAAGAAAGAAAAAAAAGCAACTATATGCTTCTAAATTGTGATGGTAAATGTGAACGTCAAAGAATGAAAGAAGGAGTATTCTATCTCCAACTGAAATGCCATTCTACATATACCGACAAACACGGAAATGTATCAAAGACGGATGTTAACTCACCTCCTTATTAGTGTTGAATGAGACTGGAAGCCCCAGCGCATTCATCTGGTTAGTAAGCTCCATATCCTCCGCCAAAGTCCCACATTCTAAAACCCCGAAATTCGCCACTAAAATCGTTAATACCACCAAATACAAATAACTTAACTATAGCTATAAACACATAACAAAGAAATCATGAAATCGAATTACTAACCATCGCCGCCGTCGCCAGCTGGTTTCTGAAATTACACGGCGAAATCCAAAGCGTTCAGTATAAAGTCTCAAATTTTCGAAAGAAAAGTGCGATTGAGCCAAAAGAATCAAAAGACTTACAGGCCGGCTCATGGAAAAGGACCTGTCTTTCGTCTCCTTTGAGCCGTCGTCCCTGTCCAAGAACACACGGAGAGTAAAGTCAGTGCCCTAATATTTGATAGGAGAAAGAGAGAGAGATGGGGAGACGAACCAGAGAAAGACTTCGGTGAGCTTGAAGAGAGAGCCTAGAGCTCTCATGGCGGGAACTTGCTCTTCCAGTTCGGCCATGGTCACCATGGCCGCCAGGTGCTTCAAAGTATTCGCCACCTCGTCTTGTAGCACCGCCGAAATACCGACGCGACGCCGTTTCCGTCAGGAGGGAAAAAGGTAAAAGCAATTAAGAAAATATGGGTTAATTACATACTTGCCTCCTAATCTTCTGAGATTGTTTCATTGTGGTCCAACAACTCTGTTCGTTACTTTTGGTCCTGGAACTTTTGAGATTGTGTTTAATGAGGAAACATTCGACTTAAAAATAAAAAATAAAAAAGAGAGATAGAAAGTTAGTTGTAGGAGCAACTTGGGATATTAGAGAAATTTAGGACCAGATAAAAATATTCCGTAAAGTTAAAGGGGCGCATTTGCAATAAACTCATAAATTAGTTATAAAGCAATTCCTGTTATCAACTTGAGAGGAAACATGGAAGACGACGAGATAGAGGAGGGGATGCTGGTGGAGGAAGGCACCGCTTCCTCCGCCGCCGAAGAAGCCGGGAAAATCCCCGTACGAAATGCTTCAGGAGAGCAAGTCATCATGTTGTTTTCGCTGACTAGATGATGGCATGCCCACCAGCTCCGAAGATGTAAATGTATCCATGCTGCAGCCAGTAGGGCAATAAGTGGAGTTTGTTAGGCCATCTCCAATTGAAGGCTGGTTAAATGGTTCGTTTTAGCCTTTTTTCATCTAATAAATTAATATTTTAATGAACAGTATATGATCATATTTGAGGCCAAATGGCCATATGACTTGTTTTAGCCCTGTCACAAAAAACCGTCTCTAACCAAGAGCCAAAGGGTCATAGGGGCAAACATAATTTATTATTTAAAAACTACAACTTAAATTAAATCCAATGACTAAGTAACGTAACAAGCCGTTGGATTTGAAATTTTTTTTTTTTTTTTGCTATAAATAGGGTGGATATTGGGTTATAATTCACGTAACTTTGAATTCAATTTCTTTCAATTCAAGTTTGCAATGAATTCCAACTTTGGATCTTTTTCGGATTCCAACTAAGGGTCCTCGTCCAATTCCAAATTGGAAGAAAATGGACGCAAATGAGACGAGGAGATAAGGAGTTTGATGAAGAAGTTCGAGTAAGGCGTAATAAACAAAACAGAGTAGTAGCCATGGATGCGGCCATGGTGTGTCAGTCAACTGAGGAACAACCTTAATAAGGTGGCTCTGTTGTTGGTCGTTCTTACAAACCACGAAACAGAGCAATGACACATGCCAATCTAATGAACAACTACTTCAACCCTAACTCAGTGTACACATGCCTTGGTACTCATAAACAATTTTGTGACACAATTGTTCAGGTTTATAAAGACGAGTACCTTCGCGAGCCAAATCAAGAATATCTGAATCGCCTCCTTCACAAAGCTGAAGACCTTAGGTTTCCGTGCATGATAGGGTCATTAGACTGTATGCATTGGGATTGGGAGAATTGTCCCATCGGATGGCAAGGAGACTTATGCGGAAGGTCAAGAAAGCCAAATGTTGTGTTAGAAGCAGTTGCCTCATATGACACATGGATCTGGCATGCTTTCTTTGGAGTCTCTGAATCTCAAAATGACATTACAGTTCTTAGGCGTTCACCCTTCTTCAATCGCCTGATGGAAGGAAAAGCACCTCAACTTAACTACTACATCAACGGTCATCAATACAATATTGGGTATTACTTGGCAGATGACATCTACCCAAAAGTGGGCAACACTTGTCCAAGCAATTCCAAATCCTAGGAATGAATCGGAAAAGTTGTTTACCTTACACCAAGAGGCATCCCGAAAAGATGTTAAAAGAGCTTTCGGTATTCTACAAGCACGGTAGAAGATTATCAGCGAACCAGCAAGAGGGTGGAGTCGAGAAAATTTGGACTCCATCATGATGTCTTGCATCATATTACACAATATGATAGTGGAGGATGAGCGAGATGGGTATATTGATGGAGAGTCCGATGATGACCAAGAAAATCCAAATAGGTCAAGAATGGCTCGTGCAAAAATATATGATGGGCCTAATTTGCCTTTCAATCTAAGAACTGATAGTATCTTTATAAATGAGTACATGAGGCGCTATAGAATGATACGTTCCCGTGCCACAAACAAGTATCTACAACAGGATCTTGTTACACATCTTTGGGCCAAAAATAGTATGGAGTAGGCATTTAAGATTTATGTTGTTAAATGTTTTTAAAAATGTTGTTGAAGTTTCATGTTCTTAAATATTTTTTTTTATTTGTATACTTTTTATGTTGGTTAATGTTATTTAATGTTGTTTCATGTTACTTAATTTAATTTAATGTTGTATAATGGCTTAGGAAGTTATAGGAAAAAAATAGAATTTAAAAAATATATGAAACAAATCTTGTAAAATAGAAGTTACAAGAAAAAATTAGAAATTAAAAAAAATATGAAACAAATTTTGTAAAATAGAAGTTACAGGAAAAAAAAATTGTATAAAATAAAATAAAAAAAAACTGTAAAAAAAAAAAAAAATTCAAAAATAACGGCTAACTTTAGCTAGCCACTGCATTTGAAATTTGGCCTAGAATTCCTGTCGGATATAATCGATAGGAATATATTATTATATTTATATTAAATATATTCTTGTCGGTTATATCTAACAAGAATGCTAGAATTTCTGACCCAGCACGGGGCTGGCTGGATTGGGCCAACCGATTGACCCTTTGTTCCTTTCAAATTTTGTGGGGCCCATGAGCCCTCTGGCCTAGCCTTCCGTTGGAAAAGATTTTCGGGCTATTTTCAACTCTCTGACCCTTTGAACACTTCGCTTAGAGATGGCCTTAAGGCCTACATACACACGCACACACAAACCGCGAGGCTCCGGTGCTTTAAATCAAGTATATATGCTTACTTCAATGCTTACTTCAAAAAGAAAAGTTTTCCTGCTGTATTCCTTTTATCATTTCACGGCAACCAGATCCCGCATTCATGTATTGGAACCATTTCCACGAGTAACAAAAACAGTTGACCCCAACTCTCGCTCTAAAACTTCATTCAGCATCGACTCATTAGCCTTAGGAGTTAACCTTACATACTTTTGTGCGTTTTCCCCTTTCTCGCTCCTGTCACATAAATTAACCACATCCATGTTAATGCCGGAGCAAAAAAAAAAAAAAAAAAAACAGAATTTGTCATATGAATTGAGATTTTAACCTATTTGTCATACTAAATTTATGAAATCATTAATTGTCATTTGACTCTAATTCTATTAAGCTTTACATCCAAAATAAGTCATGTGTTCAGAGTTATTTCGAATATTTAAACATCTCACTCCTAGTATTAAGTTACCTTCGACCAATATTTTCTTAGAGATTCTCAAATAAAAAATAAATGAAGGGGTTGGTCTGGTATACGAGTATTTTAAGGTTTGCCATTCGGAAAAATGAACGATCTATACTCACTTAACTGTGTTTTCGAAGTGAAGAAGACTAAAAGAATATACTTAACTGTGTTTTCGAAGTGAAGAAGACTAAAAGAATATAGTCATTGTAGACCCTCCAATCTATGGTGAAGTTAGATGATATTCTTTATATTGAAATGTCTAAAATAACCCTAAACACAAGTCTTGTGCAAAGCACGTTAATTATTTTGGATGAAAAGCTTAACGAAGTTAGGGTAAGAGTGATTTCAAAAAGTTAGCATGACGAATCGCTTAAAATTTTAGTTCATATGACAAATTGAAAAAGAATATAAATTTATATGAGATTTCAAATAAATTTCCAAAAGAAAATTATCAACCTTGATTTGTCAAGCATTGCTCTACTGTCATCATATTGGTCAACCGGACTACACAACCGGCCTGGAGTTAACTGGACGGTGAATAAATACTGCCGCTAATCCCGGTTTTGTAACCGCGTCGAAAATCAAAGTTTTCTTGCTGTAAAAGTTATACATTTCAATCAGAACCCAACTCATTGATACATGCCTATTGCTTACCACACTACTTTTAATTGCATAAGACTAGTTTACAGGACTGTACGGTATTACAAAGATGAAACTTACCTTGAGAGCCAACACAGGATTTTGGTGAGGGTAAGATGTATGCAACCCAACCTGTTTCCGGACAACCTATTTCTACCATTCGAAACTGCAACCATTTAATCGCTTTTCGCAAGTCATTACCGTTCCATTAGGTGCTGCCAAAATGTCACCACCTAATGAATACAGCTACATTTGTTGAAAATCAATGTCAAAGTTAGGTATGGAAAATTAGGCAATGTTAGGCATGGTTGAATAAAATTAAATTAGGTGCAATTAATGTGTTTTGTGTGGTAATAAATAATCTTAGTTTATTCATTTGGTTTGCTATAAATACCCAAGTCCTCAAGCATTGTAAATCATCAAAGGAAAAACAAAGCCTAGAGCTAAATAAGAAAAGCTTTGCTAACTAGTTTGTTTTGTGAGCTTTCTTTAAGAGTGTGTTCTATTTTCTTCTTCTTGGGATCATTAGAGTTATCTTGGATACTCTTCTTATTCAACAATTGGTATCAGAGCCAGGTTGGTCAGGGATCGTTCTTGGTAGAGCATTGGTTGTAAAGTCTCTTGGAATTCCGAGTATGCTCTGTGGTTGCAGTTTTGACTGATCTTCCACATCAGAAAAGGTTTCTTGAGATTATTGTTGGGGTTATCACAAACCTTGAGAGGGAGCTTCTTTGTGTCGAGAGTAGTGTATTACTCTGCACGGTAGTCACTCAAGCTTGCTCGGTGTAGTCAAAGTCTTGCCGATACGATGGGTGATCTTCAAGTTGTTGGAGGAATCAAGAAGCTCAACAACCAAAACTATAACACGTGGGCAACGTGTATAGAGTCTTACCTTCAAGGTCAAGACTTGTGGGAGGTTGTCGGTGGTAGTGAAGCTACACAACCGGCAGTGGAAGATGCTAACGGCGTCTTGCGGAAATGGAAAATTAAAGCAGGCAAATCAATGTTTGCTTTAAAGACCACAATAGAAGAAGAAATGTTGGAGCACATTCGGGATGCTAGAACGCCAAAGGAAGCATGGGACACTTTTGTTACACTCTTTTCGAAGAGGAACGATACAAAATTGCAACTTCTCGAGAATGAGCTGCTATCGATGGTACAACGCGACATGACGATTGCCCAGTACTTTCACAAGGTGAAGTCGATATGCCGCGAAATTTCAGAATTAGATCCAACAGCTCCTATTGGGGAAACCAGGATGAAGAGAATAATTATCCATGGTTTGAGACCCGAATATCGAGGGTTCATTGACGCTATACAAGGATGGCCGACACAACCATCGCTTGTTGAGTTTGAAAATTTGCTTGCAAGTCAAGAAGCTATGGCCAAGCAAATGGGAGGAGTCTCACTGAAGAGTGAAGAGGAAGCGCTCTACACCAACAAAAGCAAAGGCAGCTTTAAGCAGCGTGCTGGTGGTGGATCTAAAAGAAATGGTGACAAGGAAAAAGGTCATCAAGGAGGAGGGAGTTCTCGGCCAGGGGGAGCTCCGAAGTATCAGGGCAACCGTGGTCAGTCCCAGAATAATAAAAGATTTGAGGGCAAGTGTTACAATTGTGGAAAGAATGGCCACATGGCGAAAGATTGTTGGACCAAGAAAGAGCCTGTTGAAAGTAATACTGCTACTTCCAGTTCGAAGGAGAATAGTGAAGATGGCTGGGATGCTGAAACATTATTCGCTACGGAGGAAGAATGGGACGCAGAAGCATCATCTTGTTGGTGCTCAGAAAATGAAATTGAAGATGATTGGGATGTCGTTGTGTCTCTAGCTGTGGAGGAAGAATGGGACGCAGAAGCATCATCTTGTTGGTGCTCAGAAAATGAGGCATCACCTGACCCAAAAGAGTTTGAAGATACGTTGCAAGGGAAACTGGGAGACCAAGCTGCCCAAATCCAATCAAGTCCAGATGAGCCTGAAGATTTGCTTACTGGAGACGATGTCGACCAAGAAGTACCTAAGAGTACTTGGCAAACTGGCATGTATCAACAACCAGACGAAGAAGGTGGGCCTAGTGTACTGGAAGAATCAACTCCACAATCTCAACTCCGAAGGTCAACAAGAGCACGGAGACCAAATCCCAAATATGCCAATGCAGCCATAATTGAAGAAGCAACAGAACCTGAGACGTTCGAAGAAGCATCGCAGAGTTCTGAGTGGATGACAGCTATGAAAGAAGAGCTTGATGCACTTCAGCAAAATCAGACTTGGGATCTCGTGCCAAAGTCAAGAGATGTGAAACCCATATCCTGCAAGTGGGTTTACAAGATAAAGCGTCGTCCAGATGGGTCAATCGAGAGGTATAAGGCACGATTGGTAGCTCGTGGTTTCTCTCAACAGTACGGACTAGACTATGATGAAACGTTTAGTTTAATGGCGAAGCTTACAACAGTACGAGTCTTACTTGCACTTGCAGCCAACAAAGACTGGAATCTGTGGCAGATGGATGTGAAGAATGCTTTTCTTCATGGAGAGCTGGATCGGGAGATCTACATGATCCAACCAATGGGATTTCAGAACCAAGATCATCCTGAATATGTGTGTAAACTGCGGAAAGCACTCTACGGATTGAAACAAGCACCCAGGGCGTGGTATGGTAAGATTGCTGAATTTCTAACACAAAGTGGTTATTCAGTAACACCTGCAGATTCCAGCTTGTTTGTCAAAGCCAATGAAGGAAAGCTAGCTATCGTGCTAGTGTATGTGGATGACTTGATCATAACCGGTGATGATGAGGCAGAAATTCTTCGGACGAAGGAGAATTTATCAGTCCGTTTCCAGATGAAGGAACTTGGTCAACTCAAGCACTTCCTTGGTCTAGAGGTTGATCGCACACAAGAAGGAATATTTCTCTGTCAACAGAAGTATTCCAAAGATTTATTGAAGAGGTTCGGAATGCTTGAATGCAAGCTGATCTCTACACCGATGGAGCCAAATGTCAAAATGAGTGCACATGAAGGAAAAGATTTGGAAGATGCGACGATGTATCGACAATTAGTAGGTAGTCTGATCTACTTAACCTTGACTCGACCTGACATTTCTTATGCAGTTGGTGTGATGAGTCGATACATGCAAAATCCAAAGAAGCCTCACTTGGAAGCAGTTCGACGAATACTAAGATATGTGAAGAGTACAATTGACTATGGTCTTTTGTACAAGAAAGGTGAAGACTGCAAGTTAGTTGGTTACTGTGATGCTGACTATGCGGGAGATCATGACACCAGGAGATCAACAACTGGGTATGTGTTTAAGCTTGGTTCTGGAACCATCTCTTGGTGTAGCAAGAGACAGTCGACGGTATCATTGTCAACCACTGAAGCAGAGTATAGAGCAGCAGCAATGGCAGCTCAAGAGAATGCATGGCTAGTACAGTTGATGAGTGATCTACATCAACCAGTAGATTATCCAGTACCACTGTACTGTGATAACCAATCGGCCATTCGCTTGGCGGAAAATCCAGTCTTTCATGCAAGAACTAAACATGTGGAAGTGCACTACCACTTTATCAGAGAAAAGGTTCTCCAAGAAGAGATTGAGATGAGACAAGTCAAGACGAATGATCAAGTTGCGGACTTGTTCACAAAAAGTTTAAGTACAGGCAAGCTCGAAAATTTTCGCTGTCTGCTCAGCACAGTGCAAAGAATGAGAGCTGACATTGAGGGGGAGTGTTGAAAATCAATGTCAAAGTTAGGTATGGAAATTAGGCAATGTTAGGCATGGTTGAATAAAATTAAATTAGGTGCAATTAATGTGTTTTGTGTGGTAATAAATAATCTTAGTTTATTCATTTGGTTTGCTATAAATACCCAAGTCCTCAAGCATTGTAAATCATCCAAGGAAAAACAAAGCCTAGAGCTAAATAAGAAAAGCTTTGCTAACTAGTTTGTTTTGTGAGCTTTCTTTAAGAGTGTGTTCTATTTTCTTATTCTTGGGATCATTAGAGTTATCTTGGATACTCTTCTTATTCAACAACATTATCTCATCTCCGGGCCATATCACTGAAGTAAGCAGTTATCGCCTTCAACTTTCCATTTACGAAGTTTTTCTCGACCTGAGAGCAAATAATACCCCGACAGTCAGAGATAAGAGTACAATACTACGTTTGGTGATGGATAAAAAATGATGCAACATTCTTACAGAAAAGAAGTTTGTAAACAATAATAGTGGTGAGATTCTAGGTCGATGATTCTCTCAAGGCAGTGCTATTCCTTGGTGGGGAGTGGGGAAGACGAAACTTGAAGGCGTTATAAACTGAGAAGGGAAATGATAAACACAGCCTTTCTCCCCTCCTCTCACACATCCCTATTTAATTATGTCCGTTATTTTTATTTGATTTATTCAATATGATGGCCAAGAATCAAGAGGGATGCATGAAAGGCGAAAATCAGCTCCCAATTGAATAAAAAACAAAAACAAAAACCAAATATAAGAAAGTACCTCTAGTGACCATGGCTGAGACCCTGATAGAGCGATCTCTGCTAATTGGTTGATATCAACATTTCTCGGGAGAAACATGACAATCCTAGAAGCAACTTCCTTTGCGATGTTAAAGAGAAAGTATCTGCACGAATAAAAGACCGAGTTACATTCACCCAGAAAGAATGAGATAAACAAATATGATAACCAACTCCAAAAAGTTAAAGAGAAAAAAACATAGGAAAAGAGGAGGAAAACACACCCATCATGTGGCTTAAGCATTGTCTTCATGTCGTATGTCTTTACTTTTGCATAATCAGGTCCTCCCCATGGGGGTGACAAAAAGACCGTGTCTGCCTGAAGTAAAAGAAAAATTAAGAACTGAAGAAATTTGAAAAAGCATGGGAAATAAACCATAGGTCCATAGCACAAGGTTTAGTAAAGCATAACTGAAAGCATTTTGCAGTCCCAAACCGTACAAACTACTCAATTGAAAACTGTGAACTCATAGGAACTCAGTTTTATTACCTTTAGCTTTGGTGCCAAGCGGAAAAAGTCCCCCGTTATGAAATCTATCCTGTCATCAACCCCATAGATGGCAGCATTATGCTGTGCGTAATCAATCTTCGTTGGATCAATATCAATTGCAATTACATGTTTGCTTCTGCATCATCACATGTATAAGAAAATGAGGAAATTAGGATTTCATCCCTAGCTAGCCTGTAACTTTGACTGAAACCTTACGAATCTCAAAATTTTGATTGAAGGACATTAAATGTTGTCCATATCACCATGTATTTAGAATTTTAGAAATGAAATGATGTGTCATATTTTCAGATTTTTTAAATAGTTTCTGTTTTCCCATTTTATCTTAATTGTTGTTTTAAAGGAAAAATAGTAAAATTTTTATGAGAGATTACTCACTTCTGTGCAAATTGGATGGAATTCCCACCAACTCCAGTAAAACAATCAATGATGACATCACTATCACATCGTTCTGCATGATGCCTAGCTAGAAGCTCTGGAGTGACAGAGAACCATCCTTCCTCATCCATTTTTATACCATCATCGTATCTGGAGAATAATAGGTACCGTTGACACCAATATTTTCCCATATCAGCAGAAAACTCTTTGAACAGCTCTTGAAATAGAAGCTCTGCTATATGAGGATTGGTCATCAGAAAGGATGTAACTGGATAAAGAAATTATAAATGCACTAATAGCTGCAATAAAATTAAGTCCTTAACCTTCGTTTTCATTAGATAACTTTCTCTGAATTTTCTTTCTTCTCACTTTCTTCTTCCGTTTTCGTACAGCAGGGTCAAGCTGCATTTCCAACTGGTTTGTTGCCAAAACTTCATTTCCTGAATGCATATTACTATCCTCAGATACTTCAGTGTATGTATAGGACAAGCTGCAAACACAAAATTAGTAGACAAAAGCTCATATCAGTTTTAGAAAATCAAAGCTGAAACAGACCAATCAAGACCGTTACTCTAGATTTTACCTGCTTGTATTTAGTATTTGAAACGTGTCAAAATCTTCGTAATCTTTGAGAGTTTCCTCACAAAAATTAGGTTCAATAGGCGCATTATTGAGTTCAACAGTATTTTGTTCATCAATCTGTTCAGCATCTAAATCAGTTGAGCTCACCGCAATTCTCATTATGTCATTGAGCACATGGCCCCTGTGTAAAGGATCACAACCCTGGGCATCATTACAAACGATGGCCAATATTCCATCATGATCTTGTTCTTCGACAGCATCACCAGTAATCTCAGTTGAATTTTCTGGATTATCTCCTTCAACAGAAGGGCACTGAAATTCAACGGCACCCGCTGCAACATCAGAGGAAGATGATTCACTTTGGCCCATCATTGGCAAACAACACAAAGAACTGCTTGTGTTACCATCGAATATCATGGGAGAAACAGTATCTCCCTCACTCACTTTGGAAGGCTCCATTGCTCCACCTACGACGTCCAGAGAACTGTCTGTTTGCTTCAGGCGCATTCCCTTTCTTTTACCTTCCGTTTTTCTGTTCCTCTTCTGCAAATTCGTATCAGCATCAAGTTATCAACACACCACCAACAAAAAAAAAAAAAAAGTTAACTTTATGCTTCTGAATGTGATGGTAAATGTGAATGTCAAAGAACGAAAGGAGCAGTATTCTATCTGCAACTGAAATGCCATCATTCTACATATACCGACACACATGGAAATGTATCAAAGACGGATGTTAACTTACCTCCTTATTAGTGTTGAATGAGACTGGAAGGCCCGGCGCGTTCATCTGGTTAGTAAGCTCCATATCCTCCGGCAAAGTCCCACATTCTAAAACCCCGAAATTCGCCACTAAAATCGTTAATACCACGAAATATAAATAACTTAACTATAGTTATAAACACATAACAAAGAAATAAAGAAATCGGATTACTAACCATCGCCGCCGTCGCCAGCTGGTTTCTGAAATTACACGGCGAAATCCAACAGATTCAGTATAAAGTCTCAAATTTTCGAAAGGAAAGTGCGATTGAGCTAAAAGAATCAAAAGACTTACAGACCGGCCCATGGAAAAGGACCTGTCCTTCGTCTCCTTCGAGGCGTCGTACCTGTCCAAGCACACACGGAGAGTAAAGTCAGTGGCCTAATATTTGATAGGGGAGAGCGAGAGGGAGAAACGAACCGGAGAAAGACTTCGGTGAGCTTGAAGAGAGAGCCGAGAGCTCTCGTGGCGGGACCTTGCTCTTCCAGTTCGGCCGTTGTCACCATGGCCGGTCTGTTGAAGCTAAGAATTTAGAGAGGGAAATTCAGTTAAGAGAGAGAGTAAAATATAATTGTGGTCTCATTACTTCAACTGAATAATACACATGGTATTTATACATAAATATTCTATTCCAACATATGTGACAGCTTAGTATAATGTATATATCTAATCACAAATATTCCAAGCTTAACAACTAAGTAAAAGAATCTTATGATTGGATATTCCAAGCTTAACAACTAAGTAAAAGAATCTTATCTGGTGGTGCGTTGTTGCTGTGTGAGTTTGTACTCTTAACACACCCCTCAAGTTGAAGGAAGGTGATCGAACTGAAAGCTTGTAAGTAAGAGCAGCAAATCGATCAGCAGCTAAAGACTTGATAAAAATGTCTACAATTTAGAGAAGGGAAGCAACATGCTGAACACCAATATGACCAAGTAAAACCTTCTCTTGAATATAGTGATAGTCAATTTCAACATGCTTAGTTCTAGCATGAAAGACTGGATTGAATGCAAGAGCAATGACATTTTTGTTATCACAATAGATGAGCGGTGTCTTTAAAAGAGGGAAAGATATATCATGCAAAATCTTGCATACCCCATGTAATCTCAGCAGCAGTATTAGCAAGAGATCTGTACTCAACCTATGTTGATGAGCTAGCCAAAGTGGCTTGTTTCTTAGCACTCTAGGAGATTAGATTAAGGCCTAAGAATACACAATACTCATTAGTGGACCTTATATGCACGGTAGCCTGCCCAATCTGCATCAGACCAAGCAATGAGACATTGAGTACCTTTAGTAAACCAAAGTTCTGAATCCACATTGCCCTTAAGATATCTCAGGATGTGTTTGACTGCCTGCAAATGTATTGTTCTTGGATAGTGCATATATTGGCAAACTTGATTGACAGCAAAGGCTAAATCAGGCTTTGCTCAAGTGAAATATTGTAAGGCACCAACTGTGGACCTATAAGATGTTGGATCAAATAGAAGAGTGCCTAAATGATCTAGTTTGGAAGTAGATACAAGTGTTGCACAAGGTTTAGCTCCAAGCATATCTGTCTTTTTGAGTAAGTATAAAGCATACTTAGTCTGATGCATTAATAAGCCCTTGTCAAATCTGTGTACTTCAATACCTAAAAAATAATGAATATCTTCCATATCCTTAACAGGGAATATGGCTTGAAGTTTCAATATGATTGATTAACACTCAGTGGTTGAACTTCCAGTGATGATTATATCATCAACATAAACCAATATAAAGGTAATGGAAATGTCTCTTTTAATAAAGAAACTGGTATCAGAGTATGATGAACTAAAACCCAGAGAGATAATAGCATTGTAGAAAGCCTCATACCAAGCTCTATGAGCCTGTTTAAGGCCATAAAGGGATTACCCAAGCTTGCACACAGATAAAATGTATGCAACAAGATTGGACTTAGATAATGGTTCACCACCAGCAGCAAGTTTATCAGAGATATCTTTAATCGAATTAAGGAAGTCGGTCATTGAATAGTCATATTTCTGAATCGTTTGAATCTTCAATCAAGGACTGTGGACATGTGTGCATGAACCTCATGAGAAACGTCGCTCAAGAGATTGCCACAGAAAGCGAGAGTCTTCCATACCAAATTCAAGGGAAGAAGATATTCAGGGAGCGTAGAGTTGATCCAGATCATCAAGATTTGATCGCGCTCACATCATGTCTCAAAAAATTCATTGAGAAACACAAGTTCGAGAGGAATCGCTAACAAATTTGGGAGGACACAGATCCTCGCCATTGACGAGTCTGGTAAGCTTGAAGCGCTTTAGCATAGGAATGAAGGGACTGCGCCAAGTGATGTAGTTATGACGATTGAGTTTCATCAGTACCATTCCAACTACATTTGCAATGGAAATCGTTCCAATCGACATGATCATAGGGTTAGAGATGTCACTGTGAGGGAGATTTGCTGGGTAATTAGGGTTTGCAGGAGATGGAGAGTTAGAATTCGAGGAGTTTGCTGCCGCCGACATTTCAATATTTGCTGAATTGAGAGAGGAAAATAAGAGATCAGGGAAACAACGATCTGTTTAGAAAATGCAAGAAATGGAAGAAAATTGCTAGAAGAGGGAAGCGCTGGATCAGAGTCTGTTAGACGATGGTGATGATACCATGTTGAAGCTAAAGAATTTAGAGACATAAATTCAGTTAAAAGAGAGAATTGTAAAGAGAGAGAGAGAGTAAAATATACTTGTGGTTCTCATTACTTCAACTGAATAATACGCATGGCATTTATACGTAAATACAATATCCCAACATATATGCCGACTTAGCATAATGTATATAACTAATCACAAATATTCCAAGCTTAACAACTAAGTAAAAGAATCTAATCTGATGATGGTTGTGATGCATTGCTGCTGTGTGAGGTTGTACTCTTAACATGCTCAACTGCTTCATCAAGAGGGAAAAAGGTAAACGCAATTAAGAAAATAAGGGTTAATTACACACTTGCCTCCTAATCTTCTGAGATTGTTTCATTGTAGTCCAACAACGCTATTGGTTACATTTTGGTCTTGGAACTTTTGAGATTGTGTTTACTGAGGAAACTAGGGGTGGGTTCAAAAAACTGAAAACCGAAAAAAACCGAAAACCAAACCGAACCGAGGCCGAAAAAATCGAACCGAAACTACCAAACCGAACCGAACCGAATTTGGCTAGTTCGGTTTTGCTTTTGAGGTTTGGAAACCGAACCGAAAAAAAAAATCATATATAAATACAAAAAAATACATGTTGCCGTCAGGGTTTGAACCATTTCCCTGCAGGTTGGGGTTGGTTGTTGCAAGCCAACTTAGCTGTAGGCTTTGTGTTGTTATAATTGTACCCGTAATTTATTTATAGGTTTCTTATGTTTAATGCTTTATAAATTTTCTTAACTTTACAAACCCTAGCTGTCTCACTCCTATTTCATTTCAAATCTCAAACACCTTTCTGTTCCGTCCGCTGCTTCCTCTTTGCCTTCGCTTCCTCTCTCTCTCCCTCTCCCTCCCTCCCTTTCCCTCTTCTTCCTCTCTTCCTCCAAATCACTCTCTCTACAGTCTTCTCATGTCCTCCTCGCTGATTCCTTCTTCCAAACCATAATTTTCCCTTGCCTTTTTCGAGATCCGACGAAAAGAGGAATTGAAAGAGCTTGCGACGATCATGGCGATATCGCTGCAACAAAGGTTGTGGTTTTATTTATTTGTCAGATCATAGGTTTTTAATTGTATGGTTACCCATTTGAAATTTATGTAATTTAAGGTGAAAAAGTTTGTATTTTTCTCTGAATATGTTTTGGAATTTTCTAGATCTATTGTGGACTTGACTATGAATTTGAATGTGGGCACTGGGCATGCGCTATTGAAGTCCGATTATGGTATTTAGAAGAACCCAATTGCTTTTTTTTTTTTTTTCGATTTGCTTCGATTAGTTAATTTGTTGAGTTATTTCATGATTTTGTAAATTTTAAAGTTTTTGAATTTTGAATCCTGGCGATGTACATTTCCTTAAAGAATATATGTTTATGTATTTGCTTAACTTTTGAAAATTTGAATTCGTTTTGCTTGATCACAAGTAGTTGAATTACTTGAATATATTCAGGATTTTGAGGCTCTCAATTCTCTGATATATGAGAACTGGGAGGTTGATAGGTAGGTTCCTTCCATTTACATCATTTAAAAATAAAAATAAAAAATCGAAAAAACCAAAACCGAACCGGAAAAAACCGAAACCGAAAAAAATTGAACTGAAAAAAACCGAAAAAATATGAATGTAACCGAAATTTCGGTTCGGTTTTGGTTTTGGCAAAAAACCGAACCGTTTTGAACTGAACCCAGCCCTAGAGGAAACTTTCGTCTTAAAAAATAGACAGAAAGGTTAGTTGTTGAAGGAGCAACTTGGGATATTAGAGAAATTTAGGACCAGATAAAAATATTCCGTAAAGTTAAAGGGGCGCATTTGCAATAAACTCATACATTAGTGATAAAGCAATTCCTGTTTTTCCTAGGTTTTTCTTTTCTCTTTCAATAAACCATAACGAAGACAGTCACACAGGAAAATCAACTTGAGAGGAAACATGGAAGACGACGAGATAGAGGAGGGGATGCTGGTGGAGGAAGACGCCGCTCCGCCGCCGCCGAAGAAGCCGGGAAAATCCCCGTACGAAATGCTTCAGGAGAGCAAGTTCTCAGTGGAGGACATAGTGACGAAGATGCTCACCATCAAAAAAGAAGCGAAACCTAAATCGGAGCTCCGCGAGCTTGTCACTCAGATGTTCCTCAACTTCGTCACCCTCCGCCAGGTTCTCAAATCTTTCTAGGGTTTCACATTTTTCAAAAATTAGGGCTTTAGGGTTGTTGAATTTCGTGTTTTGTATGATTGAATATTGAATTTGCAGGCGAATCGTTCGATCTTGCTCGAGGAGGACCGCGTGAAAGCGGAGACGGAGAGTGCGAAGGCGCCGGTGGACTTGACGACGCTGCAGCTTCACAATCTGATGTACGAGAAGAGCCACTACGTGAAGGCCATTAAAGCTTGCAAGGACTTCAAGTCTAAGTACCCGGACATTGAGCTGGTCCCGGAAGAAGAGTTCTTTCGCGACGCCCCGGCCGATATCAAGGAGCCGACGCTGTCGAATGATGCAGGGCACGACATTATGCTCAAGAGGCTCAATTTCGAGCTCCACCAGCGCAAGGAGCTCTGCAAGCATCATGAGAAGCTTGAGATTCATAAGAAGGGTCTGTTGGAGACAATTGCCAATCGGAAGAAGTTCTTGTCCAGTCTTCCTTCGCATTTAAAGTCCCTAAAGAAGGCTTCTTTGCCGGTGCAGAGCCAATTGGGGCTTCAGCATACCAAGAAGCTCAAGCAGCATCACGCTGCAGAGTTGCTTCCGCCGCCTCTGTATGTAGTTTACTCGCAGTTCATGGCGCAGAAGGAGGCATTTGATGAACAGATTGAGTTGGATATAGTGGGGAGTGTGAAGGACGCTCAAGCTTTTGCCCATAAGCAAGCAAATAAGGAGACTGGTAAGTACTGCTTGACTCTTACTGTGTAGAATCGTAGATACGGATATAAATTTTGATGCCTTATGGTGGTTTGCAGTTGCCCGGTTGAAAACTAATCGATTTTCGACGATTTGGTTTTCGTTTTGGATTTGGTTTTGGCCTGCTTAGCATTAATGTTGTGTAATGGAACAGGCATTTCTACCAATGTAGAGACTACTAGGGAGGATGATGCACTGGATGAGGAAGATGATGGGCAGAGAAGGAGAAAGCGGCCAAAGAGGGCTCCAGTCAAGCAAAACCTTGAACAGTCTGGACTGTATCAAGTTCATCCGCTGAAAATCATCCTTCATATTTATGATGATGAGGTTTCTGATCCCAAGTCTGCAAAACTTATCACCCTCAAGTTTGAGTTTTTGTTGAAGTTGAATGTGGTATGTGTTGGAATTGAAGGATCCAATGATGCAGCGGAAAATAACACCTTATGCAACCTATTCCCAGATGACACTGGCCTTGAGCTTCCCCATCAGGTTATTTCTCCTCTGTTTGTTTTTTTTGGTGGTCTTCGGTTATCTTTATGCCTCTTCTATTGATGTCTATTATATTAAGTATTCATAATCCTCGATAATTTTTTTTGTTTTTGTTGATACAGTCAGCCAAGCTCGTTGTGGGTGATACTCTTGCATTTGATGAAAAGAGAACTTCCCGTCCGTATAAGTGGGCCCAGCATTTATCGGGAATTGATTTCTTGCCTGAGGTGGCACCTTTGCTTGCTGCCCCTGAAACTCCAAGTGGTGATACAGCTAAAAGTGATGCTGTTATATCTGGTCTGTCACTTTACCGCCAGCAGAACCGAATACAGACAGTTGTGCGAAGAATTCGCTCTCGGAGAAAAGCTCAAATGGCTCTTGTGTGAGTCACCAGTATATTTAGAGTCTTGAATCCTCAAGAACATTCTAGAAACTCTATAGGATAAGAATAAATGTGGTCAAATCCTAATGCTAGCAATTGTGTTTTGTTTTACCTGGTTGCTACTGCTTTGGTATTTTTCCTGATATAAAGTAGTATGTGTTATGCTTGTTTCTTTGGTGCTTGCTCCTTTCTTTGGATCTTAGCTCCGCTCTATCTGTCTACAACTTGTATGCCTATTAGAGAAATTTTATTTCTTTTGCAAATCCCTTAGTGTTTGTTTGCAAGTGTGGTTAGGTATGCCTATGTTGAGAAGTTTGGCATTCTTTGATTGGCTTACAGGGAACAGATTGAATCACTTATGAAGCTTAAATGGCCGTCTGTGTCTTGTGAAAGTGTTCCATGGGCTTTGCATACCTCTTTGTGCAAATTGCATGGTTTTTCACCTGTTGGGCCTCCACCTAATGTGGCATCATCTTTGTCTGTCCTAGATAAGGAGCAGGGTCAGGAGCCTATGGATGTCAATTTGGTTGGACGATCTGGTTCTTCAAAGGAAGAGCTGGAGAGTGTCAGAGAAGATGGGGAACTTCCATCTTTAGTTCCAGCTGCATCCATTGCCAATGTTAGTAAACTTGCTCACTATAAAGGAGCTAGTCTTGACCACTCCAGACGGCCGTCCTTACTTTCAAAAACACCTCCAATTAGCAAGGCCAAATCACTAAGTTATAAGAAACTGGATGAAGATTTAGATCTTCTTCTGGATACAGAGAGTGATCAGGACGAACCTGCACGTGTGCTAGAGGAAGAAAATTTAGCGTCTGTTGAATGTTTTGAGATGGCTGGAACGTCATGGGTGGATTTTGGGGTCAGAGAATATTGTCTTGTTTTAACCAGGAGAGTTGACGGGGATAAGAGGAATATGAAGTTAGAAGCCAAGGTAGCTAGTAATTCATAGAGTCATGCTTGGTCATGCTTTTGCTTCAAATATAACCTTTTCACATTGCTTATCATTTCTATTCTGGCAGATTAAGATCAGCATGGAGTATCCATTAAGGCCTCCCTATTTTGCACTCAGTCTTAGCACTATATCTGGAGAAAACCATAAAGAGAGTGATGACTCTGAGTGCTTCAATGAACTTCGTGCAATGGAAGCAGAGGTAAGCAGCTGATAACATAGGAATTACTATCATGATTAAATCAGTAAGGGGCGGCTTTTGCTCTGCACTTTGACAATCAAACCATCTAGACTGCATTTATAATCTGATCACCTTACTGTATTTTTTGTGATGACTACATTGATGTTCCTCTGCCGAACTGGAATTCACAATTTCTTTTTTGTTCTTCTAGGTCAATCTGCACATGGTGAAGATGTTACCTCAAAGTGAAGAAAATAATATCTTAGCTCATCAGGTTTGTTGTGTGGCAATGTTATTCGACTATTACATGGACGAAGCATCCCCATCTTCTGAAAAGAGACGGAGCACTTCTGTTGTTGATGTTGGCTTGTGCAAGCCCGTCAGTGGTCAGATTGTTGCCAGATCATTTAGAGGAAGGGATCGCAGGAAGATGATATCCTGGAAGGACATGGAATGCACTTCAGGCTATCCTTACTAGACCTGTAGTTTTGGAATCTGAATTGCGAGTCTGGAGTTTGTGAAGGGAGCATCAATGACCTTTGGGACCATTGGCACAGTATCTTAACGGAAACAGAGTGTGCAACATTCTGGTGGTATCGAGGTCAGCCGGTAACTTCTCGTTTGATGAGTCTTACGTTCAGTTTGCAGTAGAAGATCAATCGAGAGGTAAAGAACCCTCCCTGTGAAACACTCAGTAGTTGACATTGGGGTCTGTGTCGATCCCAAGGCTCAAGCATATTTGTTTAAACTTATAGAACACTCGTGATTACTGTACGAAAGAGATTTTATCGACTGAGGATTCGTTCATTCATGGTTTCCTTATTGTTTTAATTATTTCACTTCTTTCGTGTACATAAAATTCTTGAAACATTAACATAGGAAAAAGGTAACAGAAACCAAAGATCCCACAAGTGGTCTGATGCTCAGAGGACAAGAATATGAACTAGACACGTAAAGCTCAAATCTCCAGCACACACACTAAACTCTCAAAAAATCTACACCACAAGACATCATGTCCCTTTTGAATATTTACAGCACCCCTTCTAATCACATTCCTCTTCCCTCCTGGCACCTCACCACGGACCCGTCATCGTTCTTCTCAAGCATCGCTTCTTCCCGCGTTGAAGGTTTAAAATCTCCATGTTCTGCAAAGTGATCAAATTCCAAACGATTCATCAAACTATAAAACGTCGATGTATCCAGAGTCGTAAAAGATTGTTAAGCAGCAATTTTAATGCAGTTTTGAGCCCTTTTCGGTGCGATGGCCTGTATATAAACATTCTTCAACCCCAAGTAATAATATTAGGGCAACTGGTTACACCACATTGCAGAAATGTCTTAAATTTATTCAGATTAGGAACGATACATCAACTGATATAGTCTTAATTTTGACAAAAAATTAAATAAAATTGTTCATGTACTGATTCGAAAAAGAAGTAAGAACAATCGAAGTACCTGATTCTTCTGCACTTCCGCCATTTGAGCCTGTTTTTTCTGCAGCTCTTGGTTCTCCTCCTTCAGTTTTGCAACTTCTGCTTCCAATTCCATTGTGTAAGCCTGGCAGAAGCACAAAGACAATGTATTAGAAACAAGAGAAATTATGAGATGCTATAAAATGCAATTATATTAGTCTTCCTCTTTTCGTCCCATGCAGTTCAATCTTAAAGCAGAACTAATGAAGGCTAACCCTTACTAATCAATGTTTTAACGATTCGACTTTATACACACCGACTACTTAACGTTACTTTTCCTTAAAACAAGTGTTTCCATTACCTTGTAATAAACTGGATCCTTAAAACTTGTCATGACTGTAACTTCTCAAAATCTTTCATCTCTTTGACACGTTGAATCGCTATCACATTTACCATTCTCCCGCATGAATCTTTCATGAAGTTTTGGGATACAAAAAGTCATTAGATGATAAATGCAGAAAGGTAAATGTCTAGCAAAATTGATATAATTTGACAACAAGATGAAACTAGTTTAATCTTGATGTCATTGTATTTCTTTTTATTTTTTTAACCGTCTCCAGAACTACTTTTAAATACTAAACACACAGAAAAAACTTAACTGCATCTGCATCCACCATAAGTATTGCTATATAACTTAAACCTAATAAGATGTTCAACTAAAACCGGATCTTAGCCGAAAGGACGAGAGACGTATAACTGTAGTGTTAAGAATCAGCTATGACCTTCGATTTAAGTTCAGCATCTCCTAATCGTATCGAAGATAGCGGCTTAACGCAGATCTATAAGCTTAAACTTTTAAGATGGCATCCACAATCTCTTTAGTTCAAATACTAACTCATACAAACGTACCATCTTTCAAACACAATCAGTGAGCTAATAAAATTTCATACTTCCATTCAATGTTTCTTTATTTACCTTTTACATTTCAGAGCTTGAACTTCTGTATTCTCGTAATTAATATCTCAAATTTACTATAAACTGAAACTACAATATATGTAAGCATGACGAAGCTGCAAAGAATGGAAGACATATTCACCTGCTTGCGAGCTCTGGACCTGGCAGCTGATTCTCTGTTCTTAATCATTCTTCTCTGCCTTCTCTCAACAACCTTCTCCACAGGCCCGCCGCCTTTCCTCCCCCTAAAGCCGCCATTAAACACATAAGGCACCGGTGACACGGATGACGTATCAGTACCATTACTCTTGCCAACCCCATCAGATGACAACTGGTTCGCAGGTGAAGGCGTTGCCACACGAATAGCTCCTGCAACTCCTAATCCAACCATTCCCATCCCTGAACTCGGAGCCAAAGCGCCATTCATACCCTGATCACCGATTCCCATCATCCCACCCCTCATTCCAGGACTACCCAACTGAGTATTTGGCCCAATAGGCAACTGAGAAGTGTTGTAAGTCACAGGTTGCTGCTTGGGAAATATTTGCTGCTGCGGCATCTGTTGCTGTTGCTGATGCTGATTTGATCTAACCCCATTAGCATTCAATGGCAAATTTGAACCCTGATTCGGAACCTGATGATTATTGTTCTCGGAAACTCGATTCCCCATCACGCCAACCCCGCGATTCAGTTGCTGAAACTCGAATCCCAAACTACCAGAATTACCAAAACGAGACAAATCACCATAAAAAGCAGCACCATTAGGCTTTGGAGCCATTTGTGCATCTTCTCTCACAACCCCAGCTCTTACCAAAAACTCCTCCAAAGTCATCTCCCCCAAAGTCTGCTGCCTCTGAGGCATATTAGACCCGCCGGCACCCGTTCCTTCTTTTGAAAGGTTCTTCCACACTTCATCCACAGTTTTCTGGCTTAGGGTCCGGGGCAGGGTCAGAGAGCCCTGCCTCTGCAGTGACCCACCACCGCCGTGGCCAAGCCCGTCTTGGCCACCAGCGGCTCCACCAGCCGGCGCCATAATCTGAGTCTCTTCAGCCGTCCATATGCTCTTCAGAAGCTCATCCATGTTCATAGACCCAAAATCCTTCCCTGGGCCTCCAATGGTGTTCTGCAACTCCTCAAACGTCAGCGAATAGATCGACGACTGCCTCGCTAACGGCGGCTCGTTCCCAAATCCCTTGAAGTTCATGTTGGTCCCCATTTTTCTGTGAAATCTGATCCAACAAACAGAGACCCAAAAAAAATAATATTCAGATTTTTACTTGTTTTTTCCTATGACTCAGAGTTTCCCTTCAGCTCACGGAACTCAACATTGTCAACTTTCACCCATAAAAAACCAGAGTTTGAAAAACACAGACCAAAATCTCAGCTACCCCTCATCAATTCACACTCCAAAGCTCAGATTTTTTTTAATTAAATAACAAAAATCCTGAAGAACCCACCTAAAAAAACGTCACAAAATCCAAGTTCTGTAAAATATAAAAAAAATACCCAGATCAAAAAGCACAACACTTAACACATATCAGCAAGAACTAAGAAGTAAAGACTGAAACTTTGAAGAACCATACTGTCCAAAAACACTAAAAATAATTATAAATTATAAATTAAGATGAACAACAAAAAGGAGGGAGAGAGAGAGGGAGAGAGAGAGAGACAGAATCGGGGTTTTATTTATTTATTTATTTTTATAATTTACCTTTGTTACTACTTTGGGAATTTTTGGGAAAATGTTAGTGTTTCCTGGTGGCTGCGGCTCCTCCTGCTTCTTTAGGGCTCTGGTAGAAGCGCCAAGTGTCTGCTGCCCCTTTGCCCCTTCGCCTTTGCCTTTTAAGACACTCGGCACTGCGGAAGGTGCGGGATTATCATTACTTAATTTCTTAAATTATTGAAATAATGGGCGGCGTGGACCAATCGGATGAGAGTGGGGAGGATATGATGCGACTGCTGGCCAATCAGGTTGCGCGATGTGGGCATATCTGGGCCGTCCACGTTTCTTGAATGGAGGGTCGGATTTGGTGGTTTGAATTTTAATGGTGGTGGCGACGGGATAAGAATAAGAACTCGTGGATTGTAACACGCTCACAGAAAAAGCGTTTGGTCCACTGACGTTAGGTCCGGGGCATTTTCGTCCATAAAAAATGTTTATTTATTTATTTTTTGTTTGGTGCATGTGAAAGCAGTGAGCCGACAACGGTCGGCCCTGAGGACAAACTTCGAGATATTTCATTTTTTTAACTAGGGTAAAATTAGGGGTTCCATTCGAGTGGGTTGAGCAGGTTATGGTCAATTCAATCCTAATCAGACATTTTTAATTTGAGTTTTTGTTGAGTTCATTTTTATGCGAGGTTTTTAGATTTAGATTTGAATTCGGTTCAGATTTACTTGAGTTAGATCTGAATTTGTCCAACTTTAATAGGTTCAATCTTGTTGCGTATCATTTTATACGGTAAATCTCAAGTTTTTAACCATATAACGTCAAAACCATTTAAAAATCAATTTTACACATCACCATTTGTAGAAAAAATCAAATAGCGTGGGATGCATTTCTAAAGTTTCAACCATGCAAGTTGAAATTATATTACAGGATAATACAAAAGAAACGTAAAAACATCACTATCATTTATTGTTCAAATGAAATTCAAATAATAAATTTAAGTAAAGCGCATCCAAACTTGTACTTATAGCTTATACGAAATCAAGTGGACAGATAATGTGAATGAGCAATTCGGGCTAAAATTCGGATTGAGTTTCTGTTGACTTGAGTGGCTAAATCATCAACCTAACTCAATCCAATAAATAAAAAGGATTGAGGTAAAGTTGAATTGGAGCAAGTTTTTACTTTATTCTAACTCGCGCGATTGGATTTATAATCAAAATAGACATGGATCTATTCAAAATAACTCAATCCAAATTACACCCTTAAGTGAAACACCCCTAAAAAAGTACCAACAGACACTCAACTATTAAGACAAATCAAACGGGTCTTCGCAGCCCCTGCGATGTCATCCATCACCAGCGACCCAATCCAAGCAGGCCGGTCCAAGATTTCAGATATTTTCTATCAGGTAAAACCTGTAATTTTAGTTTAACTGGTTGTACGATAATACCCTTGTTATTGTTCGTAATTTTCGTTAATGGACCATGGGCTTCGACCAAATGGGGGAGCGGGAAGCGAACGGCTCGCGGCGGGCCTTGTACTGTGGGGTAAACGCCGTCAGTCAAGCTAGTTGTGCACTATTATTTTTTGGTATAAAAGAAATAAGTAGATCAAAAGAGAATAGATGAACATAAATAACCAAGTATTGAAAGAAAACTGAGGAACTAAGGACTCATATGAAAATATCTTTAAAATGTTTGAAAATACTTTTGATAAAATTAATTTTAAGTTCCAAAAATACATTAAATGTTTTTTTTAAAGAAAAACCAGATATGTACTTCCCGCATAAAACACTTAAAGTACATTTTTCGGAATCCACTTGGATTTTTACTAAGTATCGGTTTCAAAAATATTTTCACGAAAAACGTTTTCGGTTATTTTAAAATCACTTTCAAATGAGCACTAAAACAAAAATGAGGGGAATAAATTTTATAAACTCTTTTTTTTCACACATTAACATTTTTGTTAATTCTTCCAGTTGTAATAATTTTTTTAATTTGTTAAATGGTCAAAAAAAGAAGTCGATCGAAAGAAAATTAAGAAACTGAAATAAAAAGAGTACAAAAAGAGAAAATAAGTACGTTGAATCAGTAAAAATAAACGACTTGAAATATTTTTGGTCCAATAAATAGAAACTTGAACTGAAAGTTCATTTTGAACTAAGAAAAGTAGATCTAGATGTAGTTTAGTTTTTGGCTAGAGTATTGTGCTATTATTTGTACGCCAAATCAACATTCTCAAGTAATTTAGTTTATATCAGTATACTACGACAAGTATTTTGATCTCGAAGCATCCATTTTTATTTGTATCCACGGAGATTCTTAGATTTTATTTTACGTCATTAATCATACTTTAATCAGAACTTATATTTTATGAAATCGTGAATTAAGTACGAGAGTCTCGTAATTAGTGAGTGATGTTAATACGAGGATTGATACTGAAAGTTAGCTAAAGTTTTTCATGTAATTATATTTTGTAATGTGATTAGAAAAATAAATTTTCATATAGTTTAATTGATTGTTACACTGTAGCACATGTAATTATAGAAAGTTGTAGGGCTGTAATTGGTTAGCCGAATCTCTTTATCTATTTTAATTTGAGCAAATGAAGAAAGTTAGAAGGTCATGGAAGCTCTTGATTTTGACAATCTAGACCCATTGTCTCACCCTATAAAATAATCAATGGACGGTGCGGGTTCTTTAGACCTTGATTGTGTAATCATACCACCTTACTCATTTTTTTTTTTTTTTAATTTCAAAAAGTTTTGGTTGGTAAATTTAATGTTCTGGCCATTGTTTGATGAATTTCTAAATACAGAAACTAAGCTAGATAAATCGAATAAGTTCAACAAATTTTGTCTTACAATTATAGTCCAGAAGGGATGAGACTCTATAAGAACTGTTTTTACTCGATTCTAATTTTATGTTATCATACAACATCAATTTTTTTACCTAAGAAAGTGTTGGTTACCAAGGTTCAAAATAAAGTACTATTTTGAGTGTCTAGTGAACTTTTGAATGTATGCAACTAGTTTATTAAATTGAACAATAGTTTGACATAATATGTCATACAAGTCACATGTAGAGAGGCGAGACTTTATAAGATTGATTTTGACTCAATTCCGATCTTATCCAGTTCTGAACAGCTAATCGAAGGAAATCCATCGAGAGGTATGGTCTTTGTCATACATAGTGGACTTTTCAAGTGAAGATGTGGATGTTGGAAGTGAAGTTTTTGCTTGTGGACTAAGGCCATTTATGTAAAGGACAATTAGTACTTTGCTATCGCCACATCCAAGGCATGCACTTTGATTCTTTTAGGGTAAGAAAGGGAGGCAGATGAATTGACGATGGAAAAGAGAGGCACATGGTGCTGGCACTATGCAAATTCACACAAAAATTCAATCGATAAACATCATAAGTTGCTGCTGGCAGTCTAAGATTGGAAGCAAAGAAAATGGACAAAAGTTGTCGAGCATGTGCCCCTCCTCCTAAAATATTGCCTTAATAGAACACTTTGTTGCAATGCTTTGTTTTTTAAGTTTTCCTCGTTTGGGTTGTAGTCTCTATCCTTTGCGAAAGATTAGTTTTAAAACATGATGAACTAAGTGCATGTGAATTCTCGGAACACAGCTCAACAAGTTATGATTAAGATAAATGATTTCTGCCACAACGCATGTAGAATTACTTATGACGATAATGCAGAAATCACTTCTGATGATAATATATATCTTATTATAAAACAAGTGTTACGGATGATATATTGATTCATTACTTCATTTTACATATAAATTTTTCTTGTTAATATCGAAGATTAAACTGCGTCTATCAAACAATTATAAACGCGTTTCCAAGCAGTATGACTATGAATTACATAGCAGAAAATACTAAAATGGAAAACTAAAGACTTGGAAACTCAGAAGTCATTCATCTGTCACATATGCGTCTATCGCAGTCAAAGACTCAAAAGGAATTCTCCAGGTGCTACTTATTTTAATTAACATCCTCTAATTGGTAGTAGTAGTTGTACTTTAAATTTAGCTACTTTTTAGTAGTGGTTGGAGTCTTTGCCCAAAAAAGGTTCGGTTTTTAATAGCAAGTTATCTCTGTACATGGTATGGTGCCACGTTCCCTACAAAAAACCACCAATTCTGGAGGATAAAAAACAAACGAAACATTCTAGAGAAGTATTGCTAATGCTTTCGCAGATGTGAGTGCATAACTGCACAATGTATACATGTTGTTCAATGGATGCCTGCGCGGCACTTGTAGTTCTTACTATAGTGACTGGTAAGAGCTCTTCAAAGTTGAAAACCTCATCCCATCCAATTATTTCTTGGCCGAAAATGGCATTGGATATAGTTGTGGGAACACAAAGCAGCAGTTGGTTTTTTTGGTGTGATAAGATTCAGAATTTGATTGATGCGCCACAACTCGAAAGGAATAGAGAGAAGATGACATTTGCATTTGGGAATGCTATGTAATGCTTATCTTACGATGTTGTATAATGAATCAATGATCGCAATGAAGAGGTTTCCAATTTACCCTCTAAGTATATCTAATATGTATGGATGTTAAGAGGAAAAATTATACAGTAGTGTGGTAGCACCGTTGACGTTGAGTGGTGTTCCACTAGAATTTTGCCATTTATACAACTTAATACATGTCAACAATAACTTAAACTTGGACGTTAATTAATACCAAAAACGTTGCTAGATTCAATTTTGAGCCAAAGATATCAATTTGCCTAGACCATAAGACTCTGATTAGATTATCGTTTAGTTATCTAAGGTTATCAAATAAAAAGACGTATTGTTGGATGATTAAACATAGTGAGTAAGAAAACATATTGTTGTGATCATCATACAACATTACAAGATATGAATCGGTTCCTTGAAGATAGAACAAGAAGGTTCAAATAAGTAGATTGTAAACATTCATGTTTGCTCGAGAAAATCAATCTTGTAATCGTTTTCGTATTTTCTCATGTCGTAACAAGAGAGTTAGACCCAATCCAATCGGAAATAGCTGAAGTTGACACATTTAGCAACAAACCGAGAGGTGATGTGATAGTTGTTATAGCACTCGTCCACGCGACGTCTCGTTTGCTTGGCACTTGGCAGATATCAGTTGGGGATCACCCCGGCAGTGACACGAAACTGAAAGTGTAGGTTAAAGATTGAATGGCTTTTGAGTGCTCTCTAATTAATCGCATAATGCTTGATATCCTTGTCGCTGAATTTGGAGCAGTCGATAACGATAATGATACGGGACAGCTGTTGGTTATTGACGGCGATACGACCAATCTGTTTTCTTCTGCTAAATAATCTCGTTAAAATGCCGTTATATATGCTTTTCATTCACATTTCTTTTCCTTTTTCTTGTAAAAATAATAATAATAATAATCTCAATGTTTCCAATTTTGAGCAAGATTAGTTTTGATACTGCCTCCCATTTATTGTCTTTTGTGTAAAAAGCAACAGCATTTCAAAGTACGGGTGGGCACAATTCGGTTCGCTTTACCTTTAAAATTAAGAACCAAAATGAATAATATAATTGACTTAATTCGGTATTAGTTTGGTATGATCGGTTCTGTTCGGTTCGGAAAAGAGAGGAGGGGAAGAGAATGGGGAGAGAGAGAGGTGGGAACTGGGAAGGAAGTGGTGAAAGCAAAGTGGGAAGAGAGTGAAGAGAGGGGAAAATGGACCTAAGTGCAACGGAACTATGATTTGTGTGACAAAACCAGGGCCAAAACTGACTTCATTTTTACAGTTCGATTCAACCTAGTTCATCATGTGAGTCACTCCCATTGTAACTCCAAATCACTGTGGAAACTATGAAACATAGTTTGAAGTGACGAAATGTGTTAGGATAGTCGCAGCATGTGCGTGAGTGACTCTCCATCATTGATGCAAGTGTTAGTCCTATTGCATCACAGCATCAGTGACTAGAAGCCACTCACGTGCATAAACGACTGTCCTAGGCAACTCCTCTTTAAGTTACTAACCAGAGGAACAAAATCATAACCACAAGCTTTTTAAGATTTCTTGGTCCAGTTTAACCAAGATTATTTCATAGCCTATGCACACCGTGGGAATTCGCACAGAAACAAGAGATTAGAAAGTGAGTTGGGACTGGATGATTTTATGAATAATTTTGTAAATTCAAATTATTGGAGTGAATAATAGCAAGAATTTACCACATCTACTTATACTTTCCAACATCTTGCTCTTAATAATTTAAAATTGACATATAACAAGCAATATTTCCTTGACGTACAAGTTATACAAAGTCGGATGATTCGACAAATCTAGCTTCATAAACTGCGTCCGAGCTTTCGGAAATGTCTGAGAACGAATCTAACATATGCTTAAGAAAGATAATTTCGAATTATTTCATAGCTGAATGGGAGTGCGTCTTCAGTGTGAATCCTCATTTGATTGGAATACATGAAAACAAATACAAACCAAGCGAACTTAACAGGAGATAACATTGAAACAAATACAAACAGAGATTTCTCATCAACACTGCACGAGCATGACATTAACTCGGAAAAAGCAACATTGCGAACTGGAAGCCGGTCTACTGCTGCTGCTTGTTGTATGACAGAATGGAATAAACTGTTTGTATCAATGTCAAAACTGTAACAACCCCGACAGTAATGTAAAGATTAATCAATTCCAGGGGATTTCTGAAATAAACTTCTAACTGAGCACGCCACTTGTTCCAGGGTGTCCCACAAAATTTATTCAGATCCTTGTAGAGTCTTGCGTAAGAAAAATTGTAAACGATGATACCATTGGAAAGATTATTCAAGAGCCAGGCCATGTCATCGCCCACAAAATTTTCTATAACTCCTCTCTTGATAAGAAGCTCTACATCTTCCTTGGACTTAATAAGGTGATCCAACAACACAGCATAAGAGGCATATTTACTCACACCGGTTGTTGTTTCACACTGTTCATAAGCGACGAGATTTCTAAACAGCGATTCTCCGTTCTTATAAACCCTTATTGGTGGAATTCGCAACACTCCATCTTCGAAGGTTATGTTGAGCATGTCATCATTTTTTCGACCCCTAGCAAGCATGACTCCTGATCCTGCAAGCTCTGTCACAGAGGGAATCGGGGACCACCGTAAGGGCTCATGTGCGTCATCTGATCCATACGATCCGATCAAAGAGTTTCTTATGAAGTCGAGTAAATGTTTGCTTCCCGATGGTCCATTGGCCCGTGGATGCTGTATATCCAACTGAAGAGTTTGAACTTGAGGTGGATGCTTGATAAGTTTGTCTTGGTCTAACAGATGCATCCCCAAGCTATACTCCTGAAAATATTGTAGAGTAATCTCAGGAAGTGAACGAGAACGAGTATGGTTATCGTTACCTGCACTGGTTTCCCGCGTGAGATCAAATAAACGGTCAAGAACTCTCCAAGGAAGCTGGTTTTCAAGAAGAAGCAAGTCATTTATAAGCGCCGTGCGCATCCATGACTTGTGGAACACAGGATCTTCGTCCTCAGTTTGCACCTCTCCTGAAGACTTCCTGAAGAGTTCGATAATGAAGCATCCATCAACCACCAGCATTTCCACAAAATCATCACTGCTCATATCAACTTTTTCTTCATAGCTTTTCCGACAATCTTCTTCTATATCTCTAATAGCTTCGACAAAGTGCTTTAAACCAGTTGTTCGAGTCTGATCTCGCTGAAGCAGGCCATGCAAATACCACAATTTAATTCCTTCCATGGTTTGCCAATTCGATCCACGGTGCAATGGTCCAATTGAGATCAAACGTGGACAAAAGCTCTTTCAGTAATCATTACGCAGCACATTAGGGACTCTAAATATGGAATGATGACTGCGTAACGGCGACTGCGGCTTAAGTTTTCCTTGAATCGAGAATGCTAACTCTTCATTTTCATTTCTCACATTACTTGCTTCCATTTCATGCGCGTTCTAACTCCGTGTCGATTAATTGAAAATCTGCTTTAAACAGGGGGAAAATAGAATATAACTCCTACTACTCCCTGCAACTCTAATATGCTTTATGTAAGACTTTTTCCTCAAATTTACAGTGAATTTTCAAGTTGTTGAGTAGCTATAGCTAACTCATATCTGATTCACCAATATATATACGAAATTGTTATTGGCACTCCAAAAATATCATTTTACTACTCCAAACTTTCTATAATTAGAAAGAAAAATACACTTATTAGAAGTGAGAATGAGATTTTTGGAGTGCTAATAACAGTTCCCTGTATTTACATTATATAACTACTCTTTAACAGGTAATTGACAGAGTAAGAGATAAGAACATGTTTGAGACATAATTATATAAGTTTTTGTAGAAGAAACTTACAAAGATGATCGGTTTTGATGTAATTAATTCTCCTCGGCCTGCAGGTTCTTGCTCGGATGTATGTTCTGAAAATATCTGAGTATTTTATACAAAATGAGATTTTTGTAAAGTTTAGTATATAAATGACTTGGAATATAAAAAAAACTTGGAATTAGGCAAGTCAAGGGGCAAAATGAGATTTTTTATATGTTTAGTATATAAAAAGACTTGGAGTATGGTAAGTATATAAGAAGACTCGGAATATAAAAGACTTGGAATTAGGCAAGTCAATGGGCAAAATGAGATTTTTCATATGTTTAGTATATAAAAAGACTTGGAATTAGGCAAGTCAAGGGCCAAAATTAGATTTTTCACATGTTTAGTATATAAAAAGACTTGGAATATGTTTAATATATAAAAGGCAAAATCGCCAAAATGGTCTCTGAGATTTGCATAACACATCACTTTGGTTCCTGAGATTTCAAATCAATAGAAGTGGTCCCTGAGATTGTCCACCATCCATCATTTTGGTCATTTCGTTAAAAACTCCGTTAAGTGTAACATCCCACATCGCCCAGGGGAGTGATCCTTAAATGTATATTCTCATCCCTACCTAGCACGAGGCCTTTTGGGAGCTCACTGGCTTCGGATTTCGTAGGAACTCCGAAGTTAAGCGAGAAGAGGGCTAGAGCACTTCCAGGATGGGTGACCCATCGGGAAGTTGCTCGTGAGTTCCCAAAAACAAAACCGTGAGGGAATGGTAAGCCCAAAGCGGACAATATCGTGCTACGGTGGTGGAGCGGGCCGGGGAAGTGATCCGCCCCGGGCCGAGATGTGACAATTTGGTATCAGAGCCTAACCCTGGCCGCGTGTGTGCCGACGAGGACGTCGGGCCCCTAAGGGGGGTGGATTGTAACATCCCACATCGCCCAGGGGAGTGATCCTTAAATGTATATTCCCATCCCTACCTAGCACGAGGCCTTTTGGGAGCTCACTGGCTTCGGGTTTCGTAGGAACTCCGAAGTTAAGCAAGAAGAGGGCTAGAGCACTCCCAGGATGGGTGACCCATCGGGAAGTTGCTCGTGAGTTCCCAAAAATAAAATCGTGAGGGAATGGTAAGCCTAAAGCGGACAATATCGTGCTACGGTGGTGGAGCGGGCCGGGGAAGTGATCCGCCCCGGGCCGAGATGTGACATTAAGTGTCCCGGAGCTCTAGGCTGGAAGTTTGGGCAATTTTCAAAACTTCATAACTCAATCATTTCTTAACCAAAGTCGACCCATAATATATCAAAATGAAGATAGGAAAGTGTAGAATAAGATTATACCTATTTGGAAGCCCAATGGTTGCTAGATATAGCCGGAAAATAGCCTCAAAGTTGATTGATCTGAGGAAAAACTGGAAAACTCGCCGGAAACTAGGTAAACTTTAAACATTCATAACTTCTTTAATACTCAACGAAATCAAGTGATTTAAAAACAAAAATCATACTTATCGACGAGAAGAAGAGAATGGTACCTTTTCAATGGCTAAATCGCCATGATTTGGCTGGAAAACAGCTTGAAAGTAACTATCTTGGTCTCGAGTTAGACACTTTCGAGCCGTTTTCCAGCCAAAAAAAGGGCGAGTTAGCCATCAAAAAGGTACCATTCTCTTTGTCTCGTCTAGAAGTATGATTTTTGTTTTTGAATCACTTGATTTCGTTGAGTGTTGACGAAGTTATGAATGTTTAAAGTTTACTTAGTTTCCGACAAGTTTCCAGTTTTCTCTCGGACCAGTCAACTTTAAGGCTATTTTCCAGCCATCTCCGGCAACCATTGGGCTTCCAAATAGGTATAATATTATTCTTCATTTTGATATATTATGGGTTGAATTTAATTAAGAAACGATTGAGTTACGAAGCTTTGAAAATTGCCCAAACTTCCGGCTAAGAGCTCCGGGACATTAACAGAGTTTTTTACGGAATGATCAAAATGATGGATGGTGGACAGTCTCAAGGACCACTTCTATTGATTTGAAATCTCAGGGACCAAAAGTGATGTGTTATGCAGATCTCAAGGACCATTTTGGCGATTTAGCCTATATAAAAAGACTCGGAATATAAAAAGACTTGGAATTAGGCAAGTCGAGGGGCAAAATGAAATTTTTCATATGTTTGGAATATAGAAAGACTTGAAATTAGGCAAGCCAATGGGCAAAATGAGATTTTTCATATGTTTAGTATATAAAAAGTCTTGGAATATGTTTAGTATATAAAAAGACTCGAAATATAAAAAGACTTGAAATTAGGCAAGTCAATGGGCAAAATGAGATTTTCATATGTTTAGTATATAAAAAGACTTGGAATTAGGCAAGTCAAGGGGCACGTGATTCTTGACTTGGAAGTAACCAAGTAAACGGGCAACGTGATTCTTGCAAAAACCACTGCATCAATGGATGGAACTAATATTGTATTTGGCGTGACTTGACTCCCATCCATTGGTGCAAGTGTTGGCCCCTCTGCATCAAGCATCAATGGTTCGCCCGCAGGCCTGAGAATGTATTGTTCTTGAAGGATTCATGTTTCCTTAGATTGATATAACTTCTCATTTTGGTTAAAATCAACATAACTGGTCTTTGAGTTTGTTCACCATCAATTATTTTGTTACTTCTGTGAAAAATCTCCGTTAAATAAGAACAAAATGACAAAATGCCCTCATAATTTGTCAAATCATGTTAACCCATTATTTATCGAATTGAGGATATTTTAGTTATTTTGGTCCTTATTTAATAGAGATTCCCGGAAGGATCAAAACAATTGACTGTAGACAAATTCAGAGATCATTTTTATTAATTTCAAATCTCAGAGACTATAGTGAGAAGTTATGCTAATATTAAGGACCATTTTTGGCTAAAATGCCGAGAGAATAATAGCAAGCCCATACAATTCTATTCACTACTGCTTTCCAACATCTTACTCTTCAACAATTTAAAATTGACATATAACAAGCAATATGGAACGAACAAAAACTTTTCCTTCACAAACAGTTCTACAAAGTCGGACGATTCGACAAATCTAGCTTCATAAACCGCGTCTGCGCTTTCGGAAATGTCTGAGAATGAAGCTGTCTGCGTATAAAGGATAATTCTTCCTTATCAGCCCCTTTATGCATTTCCAATAAGAAAAGTCGACTAGTGTTCCGTCCTTTTGAACAATGAACAAGCATCTTGAGCTTTCAAAATCCGGGTGATAACCAACCTGTCAACCCAAAACGAGAAAAACGCATCACTTAAGAAGCAGATTTACTTTTAATACAAATATAGCATGCTTGAGAAAAACCCCAAATCACTCATCTTTGATAAAGTGTTCGATGCAGAAAAAGTTTTTCGTATTTGGTTTTAAATTTCAAAAACGACTATCTGAAGCCAAGTTCCATCATTTTGGATGCATGTATGCTTCTACATGCACTGCGATCCTTTCGGGATACTAGGGGTCGATTAGCATTTCTTTGGTCAGTTCATTATATTCCTTCTAAACACCATATAACAACACGTAAGAATTGTTACTTATCGTTCACAGGTAAAAGCCATATCAGAAACAATACAGATAACTAGATATCTAAGGGGAACTAGAGAGATTGAGCTCCAACCCCCTTCCACAATGAAGTGGAGTGTAAAACACTCCCACATTGGAGTGCGGGTGTTTGGAGGGGAAGCGATACTAAAATATGACGAAGGAAGAAGATCACACTCATGGCCGCCATTCCCAAGTTCTCGTAGCTCAGTTTGGAGGATAAAAGATGGATGATGCTTTACGAGTCAGACTTGAATCAAAATTAAATTTAAAAAGTAGTCAAAACCCGAAAGCAATCAAGTCTGATCAATGCCAAAACAGAAATGACAATCAGCTAGCAGAAGCTATCCAGCAACAGGCATATCCAAACAGATACTATTCATGTTTCTCTAGATGCTCAGTTGCCAAAATCCTCTCACTCAAAAGCACTTCTATAGTAAACAAAAGTCATAGAGATCATACAAAAAATGGGCAATCGGGTAATCGATCCACAGAACTGTAAAGCAGCTTAATTCAAAAGCACCAACACTAAACACTAAAACACTAAAATGGGCAATCAAGATTCAAGACCAACATCCAATAACCAAAATTGGCACCAAAACACTAAACCCCAGAATTGAAAACCAGCTTAATCCAAAAGCAGCTTAATCTGCGACAATTGAACAAAGAAACAGAATTTACCGTGATATAATCGATCCCAGAACCGATCTTCTTCTTAGCTTCAGGATGAAACGGAAGCAGCCTTTGGAGAACAGTCTTCTGATGCTCAGGACTCAATCTATCTCCACTCTCATACTTCCCCGAATGAAGAATCATCCTCACAAACCCTACCAGCGGAACCGTCTCCTCCAAAATCTTATCCTCCCAATCGACCCACTTCCCGTCTTCTCCCTCATCTTCCTCCGAATTCCCATCCATGTCCTTTCCAGACGACACCACCGGCTTCCGGAGCAGTTCCGGGTCGGGCCCCGGCGTCTCGGGCCTCCCAATTCTGCTTCCCCCGTCGGCTCCCGTCTTCAGGGAGCAGAGGCGGGGGTGGGGCGACTTCGCTTGAGGAAAGGGAAGGATAGAGTTAGGGGGCAGAGCTGGAGGGTGAGGGAGTTTATGTGGTGGTGGAGGAGCGGCGGTGATCTGGAGAGAGATGCCATGACTGCGCGCCCTGAGGTACTAGTTGCTAGTTGCTGTGACTAAAAGGCGCTTTTTTGGTAATCACTTTTTCTCATAGTTCTTCTTCAAAGTTGAAGGCTTGCAGACCCATCATCAGTTACAGTCAGCCTCTGTAGAGCTTTAGCAGATAAACAAGGAAATGCTTGCGAGGTTCTCCACTCTCCACCTCGCTTCTGGTTTTGGGCCAAGAGCCCAAGCCCAATATAAAAACACTATTTGAGCTTGGATTTTGCTTCGGTCAAGGTGCATGTGTTGGCGCCTGTTGAGTTCTAACCGTTGATGTATTGTGCGCTCCCACAAATTGACGGTCATAGTCACCTAGCCATAACAATTCTCTTGGAAATATGTTACCACGCATATATCTATCTACTTATCTTATATTTCTATTTCTCTTAAGGTAATCGCATTGACTAAAACGAATGTGCTTTTTCTATACGAGTTCAAATTAACCTATGCTCAAT